GTACTGTTTGTTGCGTTTCTTTGTAGAAGTGGCAAGTGCTGCAGAGAATTGGAATTACCAGGTTTCCCATCTACTCAATCTCTTCATGTCTCTCCTCTCTTCTCATCTGTGCCCCCCACTAATGAAAGTAGCCCTCGTTATTTCATGACGGAATGTTGGCTGCAGATACATCACATGTATGTAGTCTGTTGAACAACAAGGCTATGTTCTAGTTGTCCACTGCCTCAAAGGCTTCTCTCCTTGAGCACATATCCTCCGACCAATCTCCCTTCAAAACATTTTATTGCTTATTTACGCAAGAAGTTTACTTTGAAAATGAATTTGGAAACTTGTTTTATCTTTGCAGCACCCAAGGATATCAAATCGACAATTGTTTTTTATTTTTTTTTCGGTTGGTCGGAAAGTGAAACAAATTGCTGAATTTCATGATCGATAGAGCTGGGTCTGGGAAAACGGAAGCAGCTAAATTTGAAAAGTCAATTAACTCTGGAATGTGGAAACCCCAAAAGTTCAGTCAGCTTTGGTGCGATTGTTTGAAGTTCTGAGAGGCTGACCATAGGAAGGGGGTGATTTTTTTTCAGCAAGAAGTTTTGTTTCTAACGAGTTTCTACCTTATTTTATATTGAGCACCGTGTTTATAATTTATCAAAATATTTTTGAACCAAAAATTTGACAAAGAAAGTTTTTCATCCTCACAGGTTTCTGTGGCACTAGTATCTAACTGACTATTGTTATGCTTTTTATGGGTCTAAGGCGAAATGCCTTGTGTAGTGAGATAAGATGTGAATTTTGGCTTTTCAGCAAACATAAATTTTCTATAGAAATTTGATTTTTTTCCCCAATTTCAGTTGATATTATTGCTGCGAATTTGGTACTGTTTACTTTATTGACAGTAGTAATCGCTTGTGTTTTGTTCAATGTCAGAATCAAAGATGAGTGTTAGTGTTATCGTTCAATATCAGATAAAACAGATTTAGCACATGTTTTTCCCGCTGTAACTATCAGAGTGAGCTAACTTCTCAGTGCAACATGTCGATATGGCAGCCGACTCGAATTCTAGAGGTCTCTTCAAGAGGGGTTCGAATCCAGCGGGGACCGATCGTTTAGCAGACCAATCTTTTAGCATAAAAATTGAAAAATGAGTCTTTTAGCAGACCAACGTAATAAAGTGATAGGTGATTGATTGATAGACTCAAAAAGACGCTCAGTCTGGAGGCAAGCTTCCCCAATTAATTCAACTATTTCACGATTTTTCGAAAAAAACTGTCAGCTTCAATCAAAAAACCTAACAGTCTAAATAAACAAAGATTTACGCGCATAATACAGTGCTGATTTAAATTATCCGGACAAAACGAACAAAAATTGAATTTTCAAACACATTTTTCTCAAATTGGGTTAAAATTTGACAAAAAGTAAAAAGAACTAAAGTTGCTCAAAGTTTCAGTAGAATTAAAATTGTGCAACCGAAATTCTGAACCAAAGTTTTACCCCAAAAATTGGTCATTTTGGCTTCTCTTAATTAATCAAGAATTACGCTGAAACTAATTTGCTAATTGAGGAGAAATATATATATCACAAAAAGCCTCCTACCTAGCTCAACAAAGTGCTAGAAGTGTTAAATCTCCAAAATTTTGATTAAATTGCTTAAAATTTGTTGGGGTTTTATATAGAAAAAATCACGTTTCTTGAGTATCAATAAATATTTTCTCTTATACAGGTTTTTGGATATTTAACTCTTCTAGAATTTTAATGAGCTCTGTAAGAGGCTTATTGTGATACATATTCCTGATCAATTAACTAAGTAGTTTCAGCGTAATTCTTGATTAATTGAAAAAAGCCAAAATGACCCAGTTTTAATTGAGAAGTTTTGGGAAAACATCTTAATTCTGTTGAAATTCTTTTCAACCTTTGTTCTCTTTGATTTTTGTCTAAATTCAACCCAATTTGAGAAAAACTTTTTTGAAAATTCAAGTTTTGTTCATTTTTTCCCGATAATTTAAATCAGCACTAACTTTCGTGTTGAGTTAAAGCGCAGCGGAGCAAGCGGTCGGTAATCGCCAATCCCGCGTTTGAAGTTAGTTTTCTGACTTTATAATTGTTCGGAGTCTGCTAAAAGATTGATCTGCTAAAAAATCGGTCTGCTGAAATCCCTAGCACCCTTATTTTCTCTTATGACTTATTTTTTTTTTCATGCTTCCAAATTGTTTATTCGCTGTTGTTTGTTACGTGAGGCTTCATTTTTGTGCCCAAAACTTATGAAAGCTAATATTTGCAAGACTGAGCAAGTCAATACTGGAGTTTTTTGCCGCTGTGTTAGCTGTCGAAGTTTGTATCTCAATTGATGTCTCTTGTCACAATATTTTGACTGCTGTTATAGTGATCGAACTAGTTCCATTTTAGTTCCATTTCTTGCTTCAGTGCGGCCAGTCATACTGTCAATCATCTGTCCAGTTCTGTTTCTAACAGGTACTGAGCTTAGTAGTTGTCTGCCACCTTTGGTTGACCTTTAAACCATCCTCTCACATCATTATTATGCTTTCTAGTCATCTACATCTGAAATGTACAACGCTTACTTTTCTTCAACACTGCGAACTGTACAGGAACTAGATAGGAACGGCTTAGATCTGTACTGGGAACGGATAGTGGTGGATGAGATGTTTTTAAGTCTGTTCAGTCCGTAATAATTGTTTGTGTAGTTGGTTTGTGTTTCGTTCGTTTCGAATGAATTAATAAGGTACTTTCTCGACTTATTGGGTTTTAAGTTATTTAATTACCAGCGGATCGTGTAGGTTTTAGAAGTTTTTTGGTTCCATTTTGTGGCTTCATAGGATGCTGCAAAGACTATCGACTGAATTGCTTTGACTGTTTGATTTTTACAAGGTAGTGTTACAGTACGACTATTCTTTGTTTTCTAACCTAAGTCACAAATATTGGTGCCACTTATGGGGTACCGTTACAGCTTTTTGATAGCATGTGCTTTGACATTAGATTAGTAATAAGTTAACCCATGAAGCGAATGAACCGAAAAATCTATTTGCTTCAAATATTAGTACTACAGTAAAAACTCGATTTCACAAATTTTCCAACTTAATATATCTCGCAATGTTTTAGAAGTGCTTAGTTTATAAATAATTTGGCTTTATCATTTCGAATTAATTATGTGCAAAGTTAGCGTGGATTCCCTCAGTTTGTTATATTCCATATTATTACTTGCAAAGTTGTGTTTATTTGTATTTGTTGCTGCTTTTGCTGAATCGTATTGGCAATTTTTTTTTAAACTTCTGTATCTGCTTTTTTCGTGACTAGTGTTTGTCGGTTGTTAATAGTTCGTGGCCGTGCGGGCCTGACGAGAGTCTCCAAATCTCGAGGTCGCATGTTCGAATCCGATAGGTAGCCAAGTTGTACTAAATCGAGTCTTTTTTTTCTTTTATAACTCTATGAAGCTGATTTTTTTTGTCGTGTTCGCTCTAGTGTTAGCGCTATTTTGATATTATTAAATTGAAAGGGCTGCTAAAAATCTAGAAGTGTAAAATAGGGATCGTATAATTGAACACCTTCACCAACACGATCAGGGGATCCCTGAAGGAACTGAGCGAACGCGACAAAAAATCAGCTTTATAGAGTGAAAAAAAAAGAAAAAAATAGAAGTAAGCCTCGAATTAGAACGACTTGGCTACCCCTCGGTATTTCACTTGGGTGAAATATCAAAGGGGTCCTTTTGGTTAATTCTGACCTACGAGGTTCTGTTATTACACTAGAGAGCAGCGTCTTTGAAAAAAGATCCTAATAAAAACTTGATTTCAGAAGTTTTCTAACTCAATATATCTCGCAATTTTTCGAAATGCATAATTTTAACAATTTTATGCTTTCGATTTGTTGCATGCGAAGTTAGTGTGGATGCCTTTAGCTTGTTATAGACCAAGGAATTACTTGCAAAATTGTGTCTATTTGTATTTGGTGCGACTTCTGCTGAATGGCATTGGCAATTTATTTGCATATGTTGCTGCTTTATTCGTGACTAGTGTTTGTCGGTGGTTATGCGTGCGTGGATGAGTGGTTAGTGCATGAGACTCGAAATCTCTAGATTGCAGTAGGTCGCAGGTCGAATCCTAGACCTATCCGAATTTTTACCAATTTCTTTTAGTATTATTTCTATTCGAGGCTTATTTCTGAGTTTTTTTTTTGCAATTTCTAAAGATGCTTTTTATCGTGTTCTCGCTAGTGTTTGCGAAACGAAGCTTCGCCTCTGTGTCACTGGTGTTGTGTATTTTAAACACGTCAAAAATTTCTTTCACGTGTTTTTGGTTTTTTCAATTGTCCCGAAATTATATGGGTTGTGAAGGTTTTTTGTTTTTTTTTGTACAGGAAATTCGTTAAATTTTTTCACGCTCTAGTTTTTTTGCGTTTTAAATTTTGAATTCTTTTCGAGTTCAGTTCATTTCCCTTGATTTCTTTTGATAAAAGTATTTGGCCGTTTAAAAGTAATCGTTTTTATTTCAAACGGACAAATGAACTAAAGAGTTACTGATTAACTTGGGCGGAGGGTGCGGACTGGGATGAATGAGGCAAATCATCTTTAGCAAATTCAATTGTTTGCTCCTTTTTCATTTGTTTTCCCAAAAATCAACTTCGTTTGTTCACCAGCGTGTGGAGTTCTGTCAAATATTAAGTCTGTTAATTTGTATCTATCCGCTAGTTAAAGCAACTTGAAACATTATTCGATTTCATTTTTTGATACGATTGTTTCCACGTATCATATTTTGTTCTGTTTCCATCTAATATAGGCAAATATGATATGTATAGACAATTTGTAAATCATTCTACGACAAGTTTTCGTATTATGACTTCATTCGATTATCTTAGATAGAAACAGAGCAAAATATGGTACGTGGAAACAATCGCAACAAACATTGAAATGGAATAATGTTTCAAGTTGCTTTATTTTTGTGTTAGAACATAACTGTTTTTATGTATCCATTCCATTTTCTGTCCAATTTCAGTTGTCATGTCACAATGGGAGTAGAGATTAGTTGTTGGACATGCAAATGTCATAACTGATGTGAAGTGAAAACGTGGACGGACAAGCAGGACCGCCATACTCACTCACCCACCCACTCATTTGCCTACTCAATGATGACAACGAAGCAGCACACAGCATCCATTCCAGATTGAGGCCACAGCGTAGCTGTAATACTACTGGATGTTCTCGCCAAAATTGGATTGATTGAATTTTCCATCTATTTCGCCCGCCGACTCTTCCGTCCCATCCAATCTGGTCCTTGTGATGCGAGTGAGTGCGAACGGAGTTGTCTGTTTGTGTTGGAGCGTCAGACGAGAAGGATCTATTTAAAATAGACGCTGGGCCAAATCAGCAGTCTTATTACCAATCGTCGTTAGTATTAACTTTCCACTTGTTCGAAACTTCTAGATATGTGAAGAAAATATCAAACTGCTCAAGAGATTTAAGGCTAGCTTAAATGGTAAAGATAGTTCCTCGCTCTCTCTCTCTCTCTCTTTCTCTCTGTTTTGAATTTGCACGTGGTGAGCTTTACAGGTAAGCTTTGGTATTTGTTTAGTCATTGTTGTCTGAGTGGATAGTTTCCTTGTGGCGGCGTGACATGCCTACTACTCTCAGCATAGGCACGGGGCTATGGACAGGAGGGGGAATGGGAGCCACCATAGGCACTGTTGGCGTGGGTGGGGCAGCAGGAGTGGGCAGTATGGGGGGTGTGACGGCGACCTCTGAGGCGGGCGAGAGTGTGTTGGAGGCGGTGTTGTCCTCCCTTCCCCCCATCAGGACCAAGTCCACCCAGTCTGTCATCATGCCATTCGCCAGACAGGTAGCCAGAACAATGCACACAATCGTTTCATTTCATCATGATAGTAATTATAGTAATCACGCGAACAATTAATTCTATTCTCTCGTGTCTCAGTTTTGTCTCCATCTTTTTTCAGTTCATCTTTATTTTGAAATGTTGATCAAAAGGTTGTAAGCTAATTTTTATTTGGGCTTGTATTTTTCTAAGACTTTAATGTTAATTTTTTTCTACTTTATTTTAACTAGTCTGAGTGACAATAGGATGTTGTTCTTAATGGAAGTTGGATTCTGTTGCGAGCATGACTATCCTGTGTGTGTCGTTGTGCAGGTTTCGTTGCTTGTGGCTCTCACCCATCAACAGCAGCAGCAGCAGCAGTCCACTAAGGGTAGTGCCTCCTTCGGAGTGAGCCAGTTCATGACTTCGGGTGCAGCCTGTTCTGTGGCCAATCAGATGTTCAGTTCAGTGGAGAACATGTGTCAGATTGTGCAGATGATGGAGACTCCTTCCACTCCTCCTCCTCCTCCCAGGAGCAACCACATGCAGAACCACACTTCGAGTGAACTGGCCATGAACAAATCAGCCTCTCAACTGGTCACTCCTGCTAAAGTGCAGCAACAGGTCGAAAAGACTATATACGCAGGTAAGCTTCCAGTTTATTCAGCCAACAAAATGTTGAAGAAAAAACAACAGATTTAAATTTCGAGTTGTCAATCACATGTTTCGAGCCAAGCATCTGTTTTTTATTCCATTGCAATTCTTCTCAAGTTTACGGGGATTGGCTATGCTCGAGGATTCATCAAATTAGATTTTCATTAGCCAGTTGGAGGTGTGTTTTGTGTTGATACAAAACTCAATCGTCTTTCGATGTAATCATGTGTTTTCATTGAAGTTTTGCTAATACTGTGATTCAAGCATCAAGGCTCGTTGTTTTTATTTTCACTGATCTTTTTGTCAATTAAAACATCGATGCTTGGCTTTTCATCCAGCGTAGACTGTTTGCAGAGTGTGCGGTGGGATTAGCATGGCCTTAGATGCGTTCCTTTCCACCTGTCCTAATTGATTGAACATGGAGTTGTTTTGTTCTGGTTGCTTTGCTGCTTTAATGGAGTGTGAAGCCAACCAATCGGTCGGTTGGATATACATACACATGCATACATACATGCAACTAATCTCCTTTTTTATAAATAAATTGCAATACTCAATTCTGCTGCGCTGTTTATTACATTGAGTATTACTTGGACTGAGAATGGGAATGAAATAATGAGTGCAGTGACACTGGATGTGAAGAGAGCGACCGCCTCTTCTATCCACGAGTCCCACTATTCCTCCTCTTCGCCTTCCAAGTTGCAGTCGGGTGACCTGACTCGGCTGAACCTCCCAACTGGTGGCGCATCTCTTTCTCGAATAGGAACAGCCTCTGCCAGTGTCGACCAGAGCTCACTTTCCGGTATACCAGAGCAGGCTTAGAAGTGTGGCCTGCTAATATAGTTTGATCTCTAGTCCCTACTGCTTCATTTTCTGACCACTAATTTTGGTGGGAGAACTTTGACACTGGGAGTGTTTTTTCCACGCAAAATCAGGTTTCATAACTAAACTTAATTTGGAGTTGTGTAATGTACTATATTGAATTGTGCTGCCATGAGAAGCTTCTCTAAGTTGGAGAAAAAGAAGTCTGAAAACTTTGCTTCTTTCACTACTATGATTGACTGTATTGAATATTGGTGGTCTACGCTTGACTAAGTTCTTTTTGAGCAAAAGTATTAATCTCTAAATGAGCTGTTTTTGAAGCTTTAATTTGTGGCTCCCAAGCTATCATAATAATAACAAACTTCGGAAATGTGAAAAATTACAATAACGGTGTTGAATGTTTTCAATTTACTGAGCATTTGGACGGTTTTTAAGATGGCATAACTGCAGTTTCATGTAAATAAAAAGGAAACTTTAAGCTACACTTCTAAGTATGTAACACCAGCCTCTCATCTGAATGGAAATGTGGATGAGAAATCAAAATTGGACGTGGACCTGGAGGACTATTTTTGTGTGGCCATTTCTGACCAGTTGAGGGCCAACTACTTCGGCAAAGATGTCTCCACCCAGATAGACCAGGCGGGACACATCGTGCAGCTGAAACGGGTGGAGTGTCACGTGACTGATCTGGGCAGACAGCTGCAGCAGTGGAAGCGGGACCTCCTGCTGGCCAGGGAGGGACTGATTGCGGCTTACGAGGCAGAAGTCAGCAGCCAGGCTCAGAAAATAGGCAACACAACCACACAGACACACCCACACTCACTCACTTCCTTTATCGATGATATAAGGGTGTGCAAGATTACACAGCAGGCACTTGCTAGAAGCAGATATTCTGAAATCATAGGGGCATTGGGATAATTATGTTCAGATATGAGAGATTTTGCTATGAGTCTGGATTTTGTCATCGATTTTGAAGTCCCGGCTGGAGTAAGCAGAAAAGTGAGCTGTAATCCTCCGAAAGCAAGACTGTAGGCTAGTTTCAAAACTGCATAGCTGAGGAAATGCTTATAGTATAGTATAGTGTATGCTGAGTGTGTGTGTGTGGGGGGCATGTAGTTCGTGGGATGGAGATGCGGGTGGGGGAGTTGGAGCAGTTGCATGTTGAGCGGATGGAGACGCTTCGGAGGAGTTACAGACAGCAGCTGAGTGATGCACTGGCCACTGCATACCACACTTCCACCACACAGAAGGCCGGAGGAACACTGAACACCAAACAGGTACTGCTCTGCTATACAATTCTACTGTACTGATAATACTCTAACAAACAGCCCACGATACTACCATATATCTCACAGATCGAGCGATAAAAAAAAAGTTTTTCAACGAATCAATAGTTCGAATCTGCAATTTGATGTCCTGAATTTGATGTCCGAATTTGCAATGAAATGGCGAGAGGAGATCATTTTGAGAGGGTCTGGGCATTTAAATGTATAAACTTTGTTCTCATAGATGAAAAATTAGTTAAATAGAAATCTATGGCAGATAAGAGTTAATTATCTTTTACAATTTAGCTGAGAAACCCGGACGATGTCGTGAAGATCATGCGTCTGGAGCAGGCGACTACGAGACTACAGGCGAATAACCACCTGCTGAACACTCGTCTGGAAGACACGAACAACATGATTGAGGAGTTGCGGAGGAAAAATGAGTTGATGGAAATGGGGTTGGCGAAGGAGAAGAAGAAGAGTTCGGAGTTCGAGGCCATCAGACTTGCGGCTGAGAGTGGGTCGGCTAACAAACGACAGGTGCGCTCGAGGAGGAAGAAGAGCTCGGCTGCTGCAGCTATGTCTAGTATTAGGAGGGATGGTAGTAGGCAAGGCAAAGGGGGAGGTGGTCGCTCCTCAAAAAGTGGTAGAAAGGGAAAGGGGACGGGAAAAGGAGGAAGGCCTCGGATGGAATCCCAGATAGAGATAGAGGACAATGTGTCTGATGCGGACAATGAAAGCATTGAAGAGGAAGCAGAAGAAGAAGAAGAGTTAGATGGAAGAGACCAGGAGGTGCCGCGGGAAGGGTCAAGAGACATGGAGTTAGGCGTGAACAGGTTGGACGACAGTGGAGTGGCTGCAGATACACACAGTACTGATGTCATGTTGGCTGAACAAAGGCTTCAGGAGATTAAAGACAAAGACACGGAAATATTCAATATGAAAAGAGAGAATGCGACATTGAGTAGTAAGATCCACTGGCTTGAGGAGCGCCTGAAGAACTCAACGGAGAGCAGCAATTTAGCCACAGAGACTCTGAATGAGCTGAATGGGAAGTATAAGTTGCAGTGTAAGAAGTTAAATCAGAGGGAGAAGGAGGTAGAGAGGCTGAAGAGTGTGATCGAGGAAGAGAGAAATGAGAAGCAGATGGAGATGGGGATGATGAAGGAGGAGTTGGAAGCGCAGAGGATAAGGGAAGTAGAGGCACTGCAGAATGAATTGAATGCGTTTCTGTCTGACAGAACCCAGTTGAGCAAAGATGAAGTGACGAAGCTGATGAAGGGAAGAGCGGAGATGGAGAAGGAATTGAGGCGGGAGAAGTTGGAGAAGAGGAAGGAGGCACAGGTGTTGCTACATCAGCAGGTGAAACTGAAGAAACAAGTGAGTCTGCTCAACCAGGACTTGAAAGACAACGACAGAATGTGGTCAAAGAAGTTCAATGCATTGCAGCATAGTTACCACGCCATTAGAGAGGAGTACCATTTAAGGGAGACTCTTCGACGCCAGTTCAAGGCCACCCAGAAGCTGGACTTGGTCCGCAACGGATCCTCCAACATGAGCAAGAGTGTCATCCAGAATCCTCCTATCATTGCAACTTCTAATACAGGCAGTCTGACTCTTTTAAACAGCGCCCATTCTGGAGTGAGTAGCGTGGACGAGGTGTATTCGGGAGATGTGAAGCGATTTATGAAAACAAATAATTTAACAGCAGCTAATAACAGCGGAATGGTGGATGATTACTCGGACGAAGAACTGCACGCAGAGTACAGCTACTTGTCTCTGATCAGAGAAGTAGCAGAACCCTCTGATGTTTCTTCTCGTGGTGCTGCACGCTCTGAACAGAAGCCACGTGACCCAGGAGGGCCTAGAAGCAACAACCAGGACAGGATGAGATTCGAAAATGGGGACGACGTGGAAGGTTTGCCCAGCGGGGGTGCAATGGGAGTTGTTTCTTTAGTGGAGAGTAGTTATGTAACGGGGGCTACTTGTTCCACTGATGCTTTCAAAATGGATGCTAACTTGGAACAAGTTGTGACAGAGGAGAGCGTGCTGGATACTGCGGAAAGCGTGAACGTGAGCGACGATGAGTGACAGTGTGATGTCATGTTCGAAAACCTCGAAGAGTGTCCAATCAGCGACGCTGCATGCTTATTTGTTTCATTTAAATTCTCCATTGAAGCTTAAATATCGTATCTTAATAAAAACAATTTCAAATAGATTTGATTGAAATTTGCTTTTTGTCGATGAACATGGATTAGTCGAGGAAGACGAAATTTGACCAAGTAAAGCAACCAAAGATTTTTTTGCGATTTCAGGGAATCTGAAGGTAAACACATTCAGAAATTGAGCTGAACAACATATGCGTTGCGGAAAATTTGTCAATGGCTTGTGGGTAAATGAAATCATAATTAAACCAGCCAGTGAAAAGAGAGACTGGCCGACAGAAACGCTGCGATTCGATTCTTGGTGCTTGCACCCCAAAAAGTCATCAGGCTGGAGTAAGTGATATATCATATTGCAGCCCGTTCAGTCGTGATTCAAAAGACATTGAAAGTCTCAAAAATTTCATCGAAGAGCGAGTTAGTAACGTTTGTTGAATGAAATGAGAATGGGTTATTTATGCTATTATCAAAGTAAAAGTAGTCCATGAAGCTTCATGTAGCGCTTTTCTGGCACTTAAAAACTCAAATTTGAGGAAAAAGAAGTAAAAAACAAAAAATTAATTTGCAGATGTTTTTTTTTACAAATTGTAATATAGTTTTGATGATTTTTTGTTTTTCCAAGAAAAAAACCCTGAAATTAGATCAAATTCAAAATTGATTTTTCGCTTGAATTTTTATTTCTTTACCCTTGCGATTAGCAAGGGTGTTGTAATCGGGTACTTGGATTTTTCTTTCCTATAAACAACTGTGTTCACAGAATTTGCTCGTGAAAATCTTGCTCGTGTTTTTTTTGCTTGGTGATAAATTAAATCAACCACCCGGGGCATTTGGCGTAGAGGTAATATTCCTGCTTGAGTCGACACAGGCCTGTATTTCGAATCCGGGTGGGACCTGTTTTTTTTTTGCAAATGAATTTGTGTGCTTTTTCGGATCATTGCCCGTCTGTTTATTTTTGTCGGCTTAGTTTGGGTAGCCCGAACTTTTTTTTGAAGGTTCAGCGTAATTTCAAGTTGCTGAAGAAAGTATGGATGTTCGTTTCCAGTCGGGACCTGATTCGTGAAAATGAAATTTTTCGGCTATTTTAGATTTTTGTCGGAAAATTTAGGCTGTTTCCTAGCGTTCTGAAAGGTCCTTGGTAAATTTCATATGATGCCGGTAACTTTTTCCGGATATTTGGGGCTTTTTACAATTTAAAAGTTTTGAGTTTTTTTCAGTTTTAGATTTTTCTTTTAATTTTACTGCTCTGCTATTCAATACTACTGTACTGATAATACTATAACAAACAGCCCATGATACCACTATATCTCTTACAAGTTTACTGCAAATTGATGTCCTGAATTTGATGACCGAATTTGCAATGAAAAAGCAAGAAGTTTTTGAGAGGATCAGGACATTTAAATGTATAAACTTTGCTTACACTTGTGAAGCGAGTGTATTAGTACGAACCTTCTTTTTTCTAACCTAAGTAGCAAATATTGGTGCTAATTTGGGAGCGGCTTTACAGCTTTTTCATAGCATGGGCTTTTACATTCGAATATTAATAAGTTAACACAGTTGATGCATTTTAAATTCATCAAATGAACCGAAAAAAGTGATTTGTCAGAATATTTCTATTTCAATATAACTCGCAATTTTTGAGCTGCATTTTTTATACATAATGTGGCTTTATGCTTTGCGATTTATTACATACAAAGTTAGTGTGGGCGCCTTCAGTTTTTTTATATACCAAATTTTTACTTGTAAAAAGGAGTCTATTTGTATTTGGTGCCACTTTTGCTTAATCTGGCATTGGCAATTTATTTTCATTCCTGTTTCTTCTAAATGGGATAATTGTAAGTAAAAAGTGTAAATCATAAATAATTGTTGAAATTCAGAGAATTTTTATGTGATATAATTTTTTTTTCGAAAAATTTTTGAAAGGTTTTCAATCATTTTTTCGGTTTCCTTGTTCTCTTATACTTTTAACTGTTTGTTGCCTTGGATCTTTATTCATTTTTAAAAAGATCTTGCTGTCAATTAAGGCCAATGCTTATGTTTTAGGCTTCTACTTTCTCTCCCCATAAATGGCCTAGAAGTTAAAAAAAAAGTATTTTTGTAAAGGAAAGTATTTCAATAACTGTGGTCGGAATTCTCTGTTCTACTTGCAAAACAACAGGCTACTCCTTTTTCTTTTTACACATGCGAGGCGTAGTGTTCTACTGCGAAGAAACTTTTTTCAAGGTCTTTTTGCTATTAAAAGTGCAACCTTTGAAGTTCATTTGAAGTGCCTTTTTTGAAGCAGGCAAAGCATTGGAATATTGATAGAATGTGCTCTGGACTCTGATCCAACTTCAATTATTTATTAGTTAAGTTACACAAGCAGAAGAACGCGCTAGATGTAAAATACGAACCATTTTTTGGCCAACTAGTGCACTTCTTAAAGTAACATTCCTCGTTAACCAAGCAAATTGTATATAGATCTTGCGTTGGCGCCCTCGAAACTAGTACCTTTTGAGAGTTGATTAAAATAAGACAATCAATAATAATGTGGTTGCTGTGCAACTAATTAAAATTTTCCGACTAGTTATCCAGGTAATCCTGACTAGTAACAAAAATGCTTCTTCTTCACCTGCGCAACTTCTGCCTCTCGAATTTCAATTTCCCAAAAAAATTTCACTCGCTTTAATATAGTGCTTAATATAACTATTTACCACTTATTAAGAACAACTGTTCATTTTTTACCTACTCGAGATCTTATTACAAAATTAGATTCAAATATGGAGCGTGGAATAGAGGCCAACGAATAGCCCCTAAGCACATTTTGAGTTCTATATTTTTGATGCTTGGCTACGATTGGAATGTGAATACGCTATAATTGTGATATGCCACAAGAGACGATTAACTTGAAATATTCGCTATGTTTATCTTGACATTTCTTTAATAAAAAACTACAACAAATCTTGAAAATGTAGGAAAGTAATAAGATAATAAATATTTACTGAATAGCCGTTGTTTTTCTTTAAGTTCTGTTTTTAGCGCCTTTCTAGAAATCTGCAAGATTTCTTTTTGGAGTTTGTTTTTTTTTGGCTTTTTACAATCAGCATTTTGATTGTTGCAGCGCGTGGTCTGTGTCGCCTGGTGGACTCTGGGGCCAAGATGTGCTCCAACTCCTCCTCCTCAGGGACAGGGAGAGGGGGAGGGGGAGGGGATAGTGGGGATGTGGAAGACGTGTTCCTTCGTTCCCTAATGACAAATGTGGTCCGAGAGAGCTTCAATGTACTGTACAGTCTGGTGCAGCTGCTCAACATGGCAGACTCGTTGAAAGTGGGCGGCATACTAACCACTTATCACAAGGTTCGTTTCATTCTCTGTGTTCATTTATTTTGTTTTCTTTCAATAAATCCCACACAACCACAACAAACATACAATATTCAACGAAATAAACATTTTGCTAATGTTCCAACCACAGTTATGCAAAAGACATCAATGCCAAGAAATAAAGAATTTGACTGATTGTCCAGGTGAGTTGTTTTTCCAGTGAGCCCGCAGATTATAACACCTTTTTACAAGGATCATTCTGGGCCAATTTTTCTTGTTTAAACAGTTTAAATTTTGTAACGAAGTTTTTTTGGAATTCAGGATACGTTGAAGGCATAGCTGTGGCATTCAAAGGTGAATAGAATTTTTCAAATTTCCGTTTTGTAATTTATGCATTTTTACTCTAGCGAGCTTTCGAGCGTAATGTATTAGTACGAACCTTATTTTTTCCCAAGCATACTCGCAAAAAATAGTGCCTATTTTGTGGGACCTTAGCTATAATCACGTTGTAGCCGATTATCAAGCGATCGTGGCACAGATGGAAGGACGTATTACTCCTATTCTACAGATTAGAGGTTCAATGCGCACTTGCCGCTAGTTTTATTTTAGTGAAGTTCAATGGGGCGTGGTACGGATATGAGACCATTAGACTGCACATCTCAAGATTGCAGATTCCGATCCGACGCATATTATAAGTTTTACTAATTCGAGGCTTATTTCTACCTTTTCTTGTTTCACTTTTTAGAGCTGATCTTATACTTTTCTCCGATGTGTCTCATCTTCGATCCATGCAGATTTGGTATTTCAGTTTTTTTGTCGACAAAATGTTCCGAGACCTCCCCAAGAACTTTTTCAATATTTTTTCTTATGCTTTTATTACCCTTGCGATAAGCAAGGATATTGCAATCGGGTACTAGTCTCAATTTTTCTCCGTTCGTTTGTCATGCTATGTATGTGCTGTATTGCAGGTAAAGCGAAGCATGGCTTCGCCTGTGTGTTTAAAATTTGTCAAACTGCAGGTAATTCATTTCCAGGATGTTAGATTTTTTTTGCAATTTTTGTAGTTTTTCAGAATACAGAACAATTTTTTCATTTTTTTTCGATTTGTCACTTTGTAAGTAGTGATAGTCATTCATTTTTACATCGTAAGTAGTGCGAAGCTCAGCTTCGCCTCTGTGTCAAAGATTATTTTTGCTTTTTTTCTTAATGCTCTTTTTTGCCTACTAGAGCGACCTTTTGAACCGTTCGAATTGTAGCTTGCCTCTATGTAAATTTTAGCCTGGCAATTTTTGAATTGGAAAGCGTTAGAAAAACTGTAAAATCGAGATCGCGATCAATATTAGGAGGCGAAGCGGTCTTTACCGAAAAATAGCGTGTCTATTGTTTTGATTTACCTCATACTCTTTGTTTTGAGGGATATTTCAGTCTAGTTTTGTTAGGATTCGTTATTATTTTAGTAATGAGCGCACTGAATTATGGTATGTCCGTTTTATACCCAACCTGATTTGGCTTATCTGTGTATCTATTTGAATTTGTTGAGGATTAAGTTAATTTTTTATGAAAATGTTTAAATTGTCGTCAAAATTGTTTGACATTTTCTCTTTCATTCTTGTAAATTAGCGACCGATCGATTAGCAGATCAATCTTTTAGCATAAAAAGTGAAAAATGAGTCTTTTAGCAGACCAACGTACTAAAATTGATGGATGATTGATTGACAGACTCAAAAGGACGCTCAGTTTTAGTCAAGCTTCCCCAATTAAGATACTTACCTCAACGATGTGTCAACAAAACGATCAACTTCAAAAACACAGTCTAAATTAGCTGCAAAACAAAGATTTACGCGCACAATAACACTCGTGCCGAATGGAAGCGCAGCTAAGCAAGCGACCGCTAATCGACAATGCCGCCTTGGAAGTTAGCGTTCTGACCTGCTAATTCTTAATTAGCTAAGTCCTTAGCTAATTCTGAGTCTGCTAAAAGATTGGTCTTCTAAAAAACCGGTCTGTTAAAATACTAGCACCTTGTAAATTACTTCACTGATGAGCGTGTTGCAGGTGGTGTCTGTGCTGACCCACATGGAGAGTACAGTGAGCAACTTCCAGGAGTTTGTCCAGTGCTTCAGCCAGTTCGGATCTAGCATGGTTCAACTAGCCCAACTGAGTGGAGAGCGACAGAATGCAAGTGCAGCTGCCAAATATACACAATTTCATATTATAGAGTCGCAGTATTAATTAGTCGCTTTTTTGCGCCCAGAGACTGACCAAAGATGACCTATGTATAAACGAAGGTGGTTTGTACCTGTTGTTATTGTTGTTGTTGATGCTGTTCTTGTTGATGATGTTGTAAGCCCGGGGTCGATTTGGGCTCGTCCGTCTCCAGGTTCAGGAGCTTCGCGGCATCCACAATTTTTTTCTTTGAAATTGGAAAGTTGACGTTTTCAATGAACAGATCAATCTTTCTTTTCTGTTTCCTTTCGTTCATTGAATCTTTTCCAAATGTCTGTTGGCTATGCTCAAGTTCTAAGGGTGTTTTTTTTTGAACGTAATGTTAGTGGTGATTCTGATTAAAACGGTCTGTGACGTATCATTTAAGGTTTGACAGTGCAGTGGTGGTGAAATGAAATGAGTGGAAACCTTGTTGATGTTTGGTATTTAGCCTGCATGATGTTGATAACTTTAAATCTTTGTTTGGTTTGGGCAAAGGTATGATTTTAGAGTTTTTCCACATTTGAGAGAATTATATTCTCAAATAGCGTGTCAAGTGGATATTGCATCGTCGATCCGAATCGAGTGCTTGATAAGGTTTGCTATCCGCAGTGGTTTATTTAGTCTACTGTGGGAAAGATTACGGCTACTTGAAAGAGTGGTTTTTGATTTGTGCCTGGCACCGGTTGGTATATTCGCGGGATTTGTGTAATTTCTAGGACCTGCTGATGGAATGCTGTAGTTGCAAATTGAGTAGTACACGTGCAGTGCTTGAGAAGGGTACGATGATGTTGCTGACGGGTAGCAAGACACTCCTCAGACACCCCGAGTGCAACTCAGCCCAGAAGACCAGAGACTCCGTCTACCACCTACTCCACACCACACTGCGCTCATTCCATCACGCACTCGGGCTACAGGCACTAGAGGGCTGTATGTGTCGCAGCCAGGGGCACAACGGTGACTGCTGCTGCAGCTGCACTCAAGATCAAAATGTCGCAGGCGAGGAGAGGTGCTGCCAGAGCAGTGCAAGTAATAAACAGCAGTCTGTGCAGCAACTGTTAACTCAAGTACAGGTCAGTACATAGCCTCATGTTAGATCACGCTTAAAAACATTGAGGCATCGTTTTAATCTCCAGCATCACTCAGAAGTATCACTGTTGTGGTGCAACGTTTTGTTTTCCAAGTTTAGACATGAAGATACAAAAATGTTTGTCCTAGCCTAGTTATTTCCTATGCCAATTCTTACTATAAGCGGTTCATGTGAATAAACCAAGTTCACTGGTAGAAGAAAAAAAGTTTAGATTTCACTGACTGGATCAAATCGGATTTGGGCTAGAACGTTTTTTGTTGGAGAATTTGTCAAAAACTTCATCAAAAGCGATTTTTTAATAGTTTTTGTCTCATGAAAACAAGCGAATAATCAATCTCATCGCTTGTTTTAATACAAAAGACAGTTGTGATTTTTTTGGGTTAAATAATTTTGTCATAAAAAAGATTGAAATGCAATGATTAAAACCTGACAAAATTAATAACCAAATTTTTAGAAAAAAAATGTTTTTCCAGACTGTCCTAAAGAAGCCATAGTAATGCCAATTGATAAAAATAGAACAAAAAAAGATCCAGATAATTATAGACCAAAATCTCTTTTACCAGATTTTTAGAAAAATTTTCGAAAAGTTACTCCATAAACGCATTATTGATTTCTTAGATAAATATGGTATTTTAATTAAAACCAATTTGGGTCAGACCTAAATTATCTACAATAGATGCGTCGGTGGTAAACTTCTTGGAAGACACCCGAAATGATTGGGAATTGAACCCTAATGTAACACATGCAGTTTTCATAGATCTGAAAAAAGCGTTCAATACAGTTTCACATGATACACTACTACAAAAACCTGAAAACTGCGAACTACGAGCTCCCATACAGGCATTGTTGAAATCATATTTGAAAAATAGATCACAAGTAGTCAAAATAGGCTCCAAAATGTCGAAACTGAAAAGCATTTACTGTGGACTTCCACATGGATCAGTGCTCGGGCCAGTACTGTTCATTTTAATGATAATTGATTTTCCAACAGTTACAAACTCAGTGAACACATATTTATACGCTGATAATACAGCAGTGAAGCTTAAAGAACAAAACTTACATCAATATAGTGAGGATTTATCAAAAATAGGAAATTGGATGAAAATCAATAAGCTTACTCAGAACCTAGACACAACAATAAACATAAGTTTTAAAAGAAAAATAGTCATAGGAATAGACAAAATAGACGTAGGAACCGTTGATGTTAAAAAGTGCCTTTATAATATACGTTTGGGCATTCACATGGACTTGGAATTAGATTTCAAATTTCTTATTAACTTTTTCTTCAGCAAAAATGAATAATTTTTATGGCTTGCTCCTCCGATTTCTTGACGTACTAACGACAGCACTAATTAAAACCTATTTCAGTTATATTCAGCCAATACTGCAATATGGGGTTATATTGTACGGTACAGCTAAAAACAACATCACTACAAAAACTTGAAATGAAACAAAACCAAATTCTGAGAATTTTTTAAGAAAACCGGAGAAATCAGTAAGTAACATTTTTTCAAGAAACCTACAAGATATGCTCAGTGAAAGAATTGCACATACACTAGATATTCAAAACTTAAGTTTATCTTTTACGGAAAGATTTAAAAACTGAATTCCTAAAAAACTCATTTTTGGACTCGGAGATTGAGTTATTGAAACATCGAAGAGTTTAAAAAATCAAACCATCGAATAATTTCACTAGTAAAAGCCCGAAAAGAATAGGTGCAAGGATAGTCAATTAAACACTTTTTTCCATGATTTTTGCGATTTATACATCACAAATAATAAAGAAATGATAGATCTTTTTTCTAAAAGAGGGGGTTGTAAGGTATGGACAACTAATAGTAGTTAAAATCTTGGTACTTCTTAGAAATTGTACTGATTAATTAAGGCATCACCAGACTAGGCCTATCGGCTTTTTGATGTCCTTGCATATCAGAATTATGTAAATTGATAAATGTCTGTTGAATAATCTCTGATATGAAAACAATTTATTAGTATTATTATTAATTTGCTGGGCTTCTTAAACTCTATCGCCTGCCATTGTACCAGAGCCATACCTTTTGTTCAGTTATTAGAGATGAGGGAGTGGAGGTGAGGGGTAAAAGAATAGTTGTGAATGATGTAAATGATGATGATGTTGTTGTTGTTGTTGTTGTTTATGTAGGTCCTGATGTGTGATAGTGTGGCGAGTGAGAGCATGAGTGAGTGGAGTGTGAAGAGAGTGAGGGAGCTCATCTGTGCAGTGAGGAGTGAGTTGCACTCTCTCTTCTCCCCTTCCTCTTCCTCTTCTACTGCGACTACTCACTACAATACTAACACTACTTCAACTGCCGCCAACTCTAACACTGCTGCAAGTCAGGTGGCCATGTCGGTGCCAGAGGAGGAGAAGAGCCACATATTCAATGCACTGGACCACATTCTCTACATCTGCCACACATTCTCGGTTAGACACCACAGCACACTATACACCACGGCCCACTCCTTTCATGAAACCCTTACTCATTCTCTCAACTCAATTAGAGTGGGCTGCTGACATTATCAACTACAGTTGGCTGATCAAACAAGTTACCTGCTACTCATACTCCCCTCCTTGCAAGAACCGCATTTTGAAAGTTTATTGGTTTTTAGGGATTTCTAAAAAGCTAAGATGCTCTTTGTTGACTTGACTGATGAAATCTGCTCCTGAAATAGTCGGTAATTTTTAGATATTAAGAGATGTTGAAGATATGTTTATAAATTAGTATAGGCTTATTTTTACTTTATTTATTACACTTTATAGAACTCTAGAGCTGCTTTTTGTCTTGTTCTCGCTAGTGTTTGCAAAGCGCAGCTTCACCTCTGTGTAAATTGTTTCATCCGAAATTTGTGCAAGTGACCATTTTGTTTTGTTTTTTGCTTTTTAAAGCTCCCCTCTTGCCGCTTTCTCACTTGTGTTTCCGGATTTGCAACTTCGCCTCTGTGTAGATGATAGGAGCTATGTTGGAATTTTAATCCCGTTGGGGTCAACTAATTCTTCATGCATGCTAATTTTTTTTGAACCGACTTGCTTCAAAATCAATAACGATATACTTAGCGGAATAAAATGACTGACTACCCTTGCTATACAAAATTCGGACCCAGTTAACATCCTCCCCCATAGTTGAGTTGAGTTGAAGGGGAAGGGGGAAGGATGTTAACTTGATCCCAAAATTCTTTCCATCGGAACCCTAACCTGGTGCACAAGAGCTGCTCTTTTTTGTAACATCTTATTGCAATTCGATCTGATTACCTTCTCCAATGTAAAGTTTATAGGATGTAGCATATTTTTTTTACCAGCGTGTAGCTTAGCTCGATTTTTTAAGCTTGACTATGAAATATTTTACAAACGCTTCCAACTCGAATAATGATCATTTGAAAGTTATTACGTTAGCGATAAGCAAGCATTATCAAATCGGAATATAGACTTTTTTCGGGTTAACAACTTGTTTTACAGCGTCAGTTGAATCACTTGGTATCTCGGTTCGTAATGAATTCTAATTTCCAAGCGTCAAATGCACGCTTAGTCTGGAGGTAACGAATACGCCTGGGGCGGCAAAGATCCTGGGTTCGAATCTGACCACGACCTGTTTTTTTTCAAACGTGAATTATTGCGTTTAAACGGAAAAAAATTGGCGGCTTATAATTTGCCTGCTTTTGTTTTCTCGACTTAGTCACCACATCTTAGAATTTTTTGCTATATGCAGTTTTCAGTGTAGTTGCTTGTCCTGTTTTCATTTCTTCCCTCAATTTTTAGTTTCACTAACTTTGACTTCGTATATTTTCCTTTTAGTTACTCTTGTAAATTTTTTTTGGCTTAGAAATTTTTTCGGGGTGAATGATTTCCGCTTTTATCGGCATACTTTTTATCGGCTTTTAAACTTAATTTTGGGTTGTCGAGGGAACGTAGTTAGTATGCTTTCCTCCGAATCGCACAACACATTAAAAATATCAGAATAGAATTATAAAATTTTTTTCATAGCAACAATTTATTTTCGCTCGAATATTTTAAAATTTTCATCAAACGCCGTCTAATGTGTATCTGGAAGTGTTTTCCGCAATTTGAACATCCTTCCAGACAAATTTAGAAGTTTTTTAATTGTGTTTTTTTTTTGAAAATTATGCCGTTTCTTTGGATTTAGTTGATTCCTTTCCTTTCCTGGCTGCTAGCTTGCAATGCTATTTTTGTGGTATGGCAAGTGATGCGAAGCTCTGCTTCGCCTTTGTGTAGGAGTAATACTAGTTCAAGTTTTTTTTGAATAGATAAACTGAATCTGAAACGGAAACCGAAAATTCGAGCTGTGAAATCGACATATTGTCACTTTTTAAGTGTCGATGAGCCGTGTTCAGACTTTTATTGAAGTCGTCTGTTTTTTTTCACGAAAATGTCTGAAAAGTTGATGACGTTCAATTTTAACTTTTTGTAGTTTGATTTTTCATTTATTCATTTTATATCCATTTGTTGAGAGAAAGGTAAATTATGGTCTCTAAATATGTAACGGAAAAGGCGCGAAAAACAATTAACGTGAAAAAATTCCAATTTCGGAAGTGGAATTAATTATTAGATTGTCAGGTAAACCAAAAATTTTCCTATTGATCTAGTTTTCTCAATTTGGATCAATTTTTGAATAAAGTTTCAATCATGAAAGATTCTTGAAATTCAAAAGGTTCGAACTTTAAATTTTGCTTAAATCTTCGAAAATTGAAAAATGTTTGAAAAAGCTGTTTTTTTTCTGTGTGAGTTCATTGACATTTTTCCAACTGTCTGTTGGCTATGTTTAAGACTGAAATGGAAGGAGGAGGAGGGGACGTGGAGAAGCTATTGCAGAGGTTCTCGGCCGAGTTGGACGATCTGGTGAAGACTCTGCACAGTACAGTGCTGAACCAGAGTGCTCTCTGTCTCACCAGCCAGACGGAGCAGATGCAACACTCGCTCTCCTTCTTCAAACAGGCTGCATCCGGCTCCTCTTCTTCATCATCCTCAAACAACACAGGTGCTGCTGGCAGGGGCGGCGACGGCCCATCAGCTGCAGCCAACCAGAGCATCTCGGCTGTAGAGAAGGAGTCAACCAAGTTCCAAATGTACGCAGACCAATATCAAAACGTACGTATGAACTGTTTGTCTTGTAAATTTTGATGAATCATAAATATTAACCGCTTTTAGTCTTCTAGTTTTTGTTAATTGTTTTCCAGCAACTTCCTATAATTTAGTTTTCTTGTCACTTGGTGAAAACGTCATGACCTGTATTTTGCATATCAAATACGAAACGGGCGGGGATTTGAATGATGCAGATAGATGAGATGGTGTTGAGATTCGCCGCCTGCTTTCTGATAGTATTGCTGCGCATCCTGAATACATGTTCACAATTAAGGAAGCTTATTAACTGCGGTTTCTCCATTGGCGAGGGGAGCTCCGTCTGTGTTATGTAGGGAGTGGAGGGACTCCGAAGTGATATGTGTTGTTGTAGTTGTGCGGACTGTTGAGGAGTGTGTTGTGTGAGAGTACAAGACAGAGGGTGCGGATGGAGTGGTGTGGAGTGTGCATTGGCTTCTTCTCCCACCAGCTGCTGCTGAGTGCACAGACTGCGGCTCTCTACCCCAGCAGCAAGATAGCCAATGAGAACCTGGCAGTGTTCACGGAGGTGTGGAACTCACACATGCACCACTTCTCTTCCCTCATGCACGAGGTAGTGGCCACAGCCACAGCTACGACCACCTCCGAGGACACCGCTGCCGCACAGCTGGCACAGCAGGACTCTCCTCAAACACTGCAACTGTTCACAACCATGCCTCCCACATCCTACTTGGTGAGTGAGAATGAGAAGCATCAAACAACACTCAACTGCTGCTATATCACTGTTTAGCAGTAGATCAAGCATCAATGGTATTATTTTCACACCTTTTTCATGTGTTCTCTGGTGCATTCAATAAATTTGACTATCGAAAGCTCACTAGTAAAAAGTTCAATGGTCTAGTCTAAGGTTTATATTTGTGTTGTCCTGTGAGCAAGTGTGGATTGTTGTTCAGTGTGTTGTGTTGTGTGTAGGGATTATCGAGAGTGCGCAGACTGGGACTGGAGATGAAGCGGGTGGCGTCTGTTGTGGAGAACCAAGTGAACATCCTCCACTCTTATCTGCAGTCAGAGGCACTCCTCCCTGTCCAACTCAACAGCCCCAATCCCCACTCATCTTCCTCTTCTCCCCCTCAACAGACGGCAGATTTGAGCAGCTGTTCGGATGTGATGAAGCGGTGTGGGAACCTGTGCAGCATGGCATTCGCCCTCTACCTCTTCACTAACAGTCAGGGACCCCTCAAGTCCCCACAGGACCTGTTCACTCAAATACAGGTGCATCATCTCAACACGCACGCACACACACACACACACGAGAGAGACATCACTCCTTTCATACACATACTCTAGCAGATGTAGATAGATGTGTCGAAGACAAGTCTTTCCGAGTAGCAAGTTCGCGCCTAAAATAATACCGTCACGGGTCAGGGCAAAAGGTGGCCTGTTGCTTATGTTCAATACCAACGCGCTGATGTTATTGAAATCTAATGACATCTTGAATTATTAATCAGACAAAACGATAGTTTTTGGTAAATTTGACGGAAATAAATCAGTTTTTGACGTCAAAATTTGTTGGCCAAAACAAAAAATATTTCCAACTGTTTTAGGTTTAAGTTATTCACATAATTGCTTTTTCGATCTATTATCGCTTTGTGGTATTGGTTAATTGACTGTTGGCAGTTCTTCATGGAAGAGGTGTCCAAAATCCACTCTCTCGTCAATGACAAATCACATCAGCTGATCTCCCTCGCAATGGGAGGCCAGCTGCAGCAGCAACATCATCAACAGCAGCAGTGTTTAGAGACAGGGGTAGCGTCTGACTTGAAGAGACTGCTGGCAGAGACTATTCCAGAGAGAGTGAACTCACTGGCCCTACTCTTGTCCTCGTCTGATAGAGATATCACCAGTTATTTCTTCAAGGTCACCATCCACTACCTCATTCAACCGCCTTCCTTTTTTCTCAAACATCTTTTGACTGCATTCTTGTGAAGCTTCAGTTATTTAGGCTGCAAAAGTCTAACGTGCAAAAACTTCAAAAGATGTGAATAAATCTTGACCTCAAATCTCGGTGACCTTAACATAAGCTACATATTGTTAGAAAAAAGGAAAATTTTCAAGATATATTTTTCAGTTCCATAAGTTAGGTAAAACTCTTCCAACTGCTTTTTGTCTATTGCTTGAAGCTATGTGAGAACTTACCCATGTTGTGGAATGGGGTAGTCATTGTGCTGTGAACAGAGTTGCTTGTTTCAGGTCGAACACAGTCTCGAGGAGAGCAAAAGCCTGTTGGCACTTCTACTGTCGCTTGTGCAATACTACTTTCAAGCTATTTACCTGGTGAGAAGAACATTCTTTAACCTACAAGCAATGTTTGCGAGAAAAACAGGTGTTTCAAAAGCACTCATTAAAGTTTGTTTTTGCGCGATCGGAACGTAGTGTGATAGTACGATGCAACTTTTTTTTCCAATCTAAGTCGCAAAAAAGTGTTCATTGAAAGTGTTCATTTATATGGAAATTTCTCTGTAGCATTGGAAATTGCATATCATCTGTTCTCTGCTTTATTTGTGACTAGTGTTTGTAATTAATTAAAGGTCCGTGGCTGAGTGGTTAGTGCATGAGACTCATTATCTCTAGGTCGCAGTAGGTCGTAGGTTTTAATCCGAGACATAGCCATTTTGTTTTGTTACTAATCCGAGGCTTATTTCTGCTTTTTCCTTTTGCACTTTATACAGTTGCTTTTTGGCGTATTCTCGCTAGTGGTTGCGAAACGCAGCTTCGCCTTTGTGTTACATTTGTTTGACATTAGATAAGTAATAAGTTAACACAGCTGTTGCTTTTTTTAAATCGTCAAATGAACCGAAAAAGCTGATTTTTGATATGCAGAAGTTATACGCAATTTGGTTTAATACCTAATTTATTACATGCACAGATAGTGTGGTTGCCTTGAGTCTATTACATTTTAAATTATTACATGCAAAATTTGAGTTTTTGTGCATTTTAAGGCTTCTGAACCTTTGCCGCTTTATCACTCGTGTTTGCGAAGTGCAGCTTTGCCTCTTTGTAAAACACCGCCTTACACTTGCGAGAGTGGTGTTTTAGTATGAACGGTATTTTTGTTCAACCTAACTCGCAAATAAAAGTGTTGGAATGTTGCGATAATCACGACCTGTAGCATTAGAAATTTCATAGTATCTGTTGTCTGCTTTATTTATGGCTAGATTTTGCCGATTGTTAAGCTTCTGTGGCTGAGATAATAAGGTGTGAAACTCGAGGTCGAAGGTTCGAATCCGTCGGGTGGCAGTTTTTTTTATTCCAGGCTTATTTCTACTTTTTTATGGTAATTTATAGAGCTGCTTTTTCGCTAGTGTTTGCGAAGCACAGCTTCGACTGTCTTGTAGTTACGCTTGCGATAACGAAGCGTTATCAAACTGGAGTATAGACTTTTTTTCTAGTTAAAGATTTAGTTTAACAAAATCAGTTGAATCTTTTCTGCAGCATTTAATTCTGCATCATTCAGTTCCGCAGCAACCAAACATAGTCAATTTTTAAAAATGTTCAAATTTAACTACTGACTGAGTACTAGTTACTTGTCAAGTTTCTTTACATAGTAAGTTTTTGTCGGCTCTACTGGTGTCTGCTCAAAGATTATCGGCCTTGTTCTCCCTTCTTTCTTTTTTATCCAGTTGCTAATTTGAATTTCAAATGTCTTGCTCGGCGTGTTTGCGTAGAATTCCTGTTTGATGAAAACAGGTATCATGAAAGTGCAAGGGTTTTTAATTTCATTATTTTTGAGACTCGTTGGTAAATTTTAAATACTTCTTGCAAAATTTTCTCCCTAAAGCCTTTCTACCGAGTTTCAAAAAAGGGTATACATAGAAAGAATGCCTATACTTTTGTGTGCCTGCATACTCCCCCTGGTCTTTTTTTGCTTTCCTTTTTGTCTACAGCCTTCGAAAACGTCTGTGGAGGGAATATTTCATCGATATTTTTTCCGTTTTCTCGGAAACTAACCTACCAAATCTGATATTTAGGTTTAAATGAATAGAACGGAGTTGAAAACTCCATTCAATAAGCGGTTATGCCCAAACTTTTTTTGCACATAAAATTATGGCCCTCGAATTTTTCTCAAAAACTAAGTTCCTAAACCTGAGATTGTGGGTTCAATGGAAATAACGGGTAGTGGGAAGCTCCCCTGCATTAGCGGTGCCCATCTTTTTTTTGCATCTGTGGTGCCCAAAAAAATTTAATCGTCCTCAAATATTCAATTTTTGAGCGTTTTTTAAAATTTGTTGAATTTAACCAAAAAAATACCCATCTATATCTGGATCTTGGGTTCAATCCGAAATGCAGGATGTGCGAAGCTCTTTTGCGCCCAAATTTTCTTTCAAAATATATTATGGCCCTCGGAACAGTCAAATCTTGGATATTTTGATCATTTTTTGAAACTTTTCTCGAGAACTGCCGTGCCAAACCTAGATTTTTGGGCTCAATCGAAATAACAGATCGGTTGAATCGTTTCTACATAAGCGTTTACGCCCAATTTTTTTGAAACTAAAAATATGATTCTCGGAAATGTCAGCTCTCTGATTTGCTGACCGTTTTTTGGTCTTTTCTTGATTACTATCCTGCCAAAACTGATATTATAGGTTTATTCGACCCAACGGGTTGTTGGATGCTTAATTTTATTTTTTGCTACGCGCAGTTTCTGCTAGAAAAAAACTTATGGCCTTTAAACATGTGAAAGTTATGAAAATTGGACCGTTTTTGGAATTTTTTCACGCGACTCGAAAATAACTTGCCAATCTAAGGTTAAGTGTTCAATCGAGAAACACGGTTTGGGTAATTTTTGCTACTTTACCGGCGGCCACGACCTGCTTTTAGCAGAAAAAACTTAATGATTTTCAAAAACTACCCTATCAAATCTGAGATGAAATTTTCAAACGGAAGTGGTTGTGTGAATTTTTCTTGCAGAAGCGGCTGCTCCTTATTTTTTTTGTAAAAGAAAGGCTAGGTGTTTAGGAAAATTCCAAATTCTTAAAAATTTTCCTGACTTTTTTGCGAAACTGAGGTTTTGAGCAAAGTCTCATTTTTGAAATTACGCATTTAGTCCCACATTAGTAGAACAAAATCAACAATACTAAATACTTACCTCCAGCTTTAGCTGAGCCCTAGGTGTCTTTTATCGAAAGTTTTTTGTCACCTAGTTTATCAAGATTTTTTATTTTTTTTCGACTGCTTTTTATAATTGTGTTGCATCGCAAGTGGTGCGAAGCTCCGCTTCGCCTCTGTGTTTAACATATGTTTTTTAATTTTCGTGTTTTTAGTTTTTGTTTGTGTCAAATTTGTTTCTGACCTGTTAAACACAACTGATGTTGTTTCAAATTAAAGAGTTATAATATTCAAAAAAAAATTAGGGTGTAAATTTATCCAAGGAAAGCCTTGTTGATCTGATAAAATTTTAGTTTCTGAATAGTCGTTTATTTAGTTCAGTTTTAGAGGATTGTGTGATGTAACGCAATTTTCAGCATTATAATAAACAAATCTTTGTTTTGGATTTTGAAGAAATTGATTAAGATTCGATGAACGTAGTTCAGAGTCTTACTTAAGTTTTGATGATTTTTTTTTGTTCAGGAAAAGTCTTGAAATTTAGTCAGGCTCTAATGTGATTACGTGTTTTTTCAAACTTTGACTTTTGATTTCCTTTCAAAATCAGTTCTTTTGTTAAAAAGAAGACAATTTCCACTGGAGTCAGCTTAGTCTAATAAATATTACGAACCTTCGTTTTTTGTACTAAGGTCAGCTTGGTGTATTATCAAGAACTTTTTTTTTTCGGGCACCCTTACAGCTTTTTGATAGCATTCGAATAGTAATAAGTTAACACAGTTGGTGCATTTTTAATTTATCAAATGAACCGAAAAAAAGCTATTTGTTTCAAAGAACATAACAATAATGAAAACTCGATTTCAGAAATCTTTGTAACTCAAAATTTCTCGCAATTTTTTGTAAAGCTTATTTTGTACATAATGTAGTTTTATGCTTTGCAATTTGATACATGCAAAATCAGTGTAGATGCCTTCAGTTTATTATATTCCAAATTATTACATGCAAAATTTTGTCTATTTATATTTGGTGCCTTTTTTGCTGAATGGCATTGGCAATGTATTTGCATATATAGCTGCTTTATTCGTGACTAGTGTTTATCGGTGTTTGAGCGTGCGTGGCTGAGTGGTTATTGCGTGGGACTCAAAATGTCTTAATTGCAGCAGACCGGATTCTAGACCTAGCCGAATTTTTGTTAATTCGAGGCTCATTTCTTTTTTTTTATTGCAATTTCTAGAGCTGCTTTTTGTCGTGTACTCGATAGTGTTCGAGAAGCGAAGCTTCGCCTCTGTGTCAAAAAGTGCCAATCATGAATTGTTCTGAGTCAAAGATGCTTAAAGGCAATCTAATTTTTTCTTCGAAGTTTGAAGTTAGGGATTTAAAAAAAAAGTCAGTTTTCTTCTGTTTTGTTTTTGCGTTCATTGACTGTTTTCCAATTGTCTGTTAACTATATTTTAAATTGGAAAAAGAAATTGGATGAATTCACAAAAAAAAAACATTTAAAAGAATTCACAAAATTTGAGTAATCGGTAAAATGGATGTTTGAAAGAGCTCGCAAAAGTTATGGTTAAAATGGAGTTAACGAAATTCGGACTGACATAGGATTGATGCATAGCTTTTACAATCAAAAACAGGAATTGTACATTTCGTAAAATGTCGGGAACAGTCATGAAGTTAGTTCTCGATTTAACCCAAGAGTCTAAATATTCCGCTTGGAGAAAACAATTTCTAGAGCTATGTTATTGAAACAGATTTTTTCACTTTCAACTTTTGAAATTCAGTTTTCAATTTCTTATTTGATTTCATTGTGAGATGTATTGAGACGTGAAACTTTAAAGTCGAAGTTATTCTATTCTAAGTTAGCAAAACTGAAGGTCTTTTTGTATCTCAATGGTAAATAGAAAGAGTATAATAAGCGGTAAGCTAAAATTTGAAGGAAGTTCCGATTTGGTTTCACAAATCTTCTCGTGAAACCATACTTGATAACTCATCGTAATTTGGTTTGTTCGAGATAACAATCTGTGGTGCAAAATTATGGGTGTTCTGTTTAGACTTATCTACCGGACTACAACTGGTCAGTGAATAGCAATCTGTTGCAGCAGAAGAGCAATTTCTCAGGGGCCGCCAACATCACATTCCAAGTGGCCAATCAAGTGCCACAACAACAATATCCTTGTAACATTCCACAGCAATTGCAATCACAGTTTCAAAATTTTCGCATGCAACAGATGACAGCAACAGGGAGCCCGAATAGCAACACATTCCAACAGCTCCAACACAATCCAAATTCAACTCACCAACAGCAGGCATTCGACTACTCTTCAGGAGCACAACAAGGACCCAACATGTCAATGATGGCGGTAATGAAAGCAGGAGGGCAGCTGCAGAGTGCTGGTTCATTTGGAATGGGATTTCCTCCTGCCGACCACAATGGAACTTTTCCTGTTCAAAACACGAACAACCAGTTTAACAGTCAATCGGGAGTGGAGACAATTGCAAGTGGTGTTAGCGGGGGGTTCCCTAACCAGATGACCTACTCCGCAGCTAACATGCAACAAGGAGTGACGGGTGGAACGAATCAACAGCAGGTGTCGCTACAACACATGCAACAACTGCAGTATCATCCACAGCAGCAGCAACACCAATTCATCCCTCCCATATCCATTTCTATATCTAATGCGTCTGCTTCTTCTCCCTGTGGTGTCTGTCCCCTTAACCCCCCTCCCCCACCAGCCACATTCGCTGCAATCTCGTCTGGAATCGACACCCTCAAGAAGACTTCTTCATTGTTTGACAGAATGTGAACGACAACACAACGAGCCAATATTCACCACACACTTTTGTTGATCAGTGGACATGACGTCATCTCTCTTTTCTTCTCTTCTATCTACCGGTCCACTGTCCACTCTTACTCTAAATCTCCTCATTTGCAAGCTACTTACCATTCATGTTCTACTTACTTACTCTTGAATAAGCCCCCGTGCAGTCATCTAATCGAACCAGGCGCATCAGTGAGAGACTCATCCTCATTATACTCTCTCACTATTTGTACTTTTGTCTCTGTCCTCATTTCTGTTTCTTGCTAATCAGTTTTTTTCGCATCATGCTGTCCTTTTCGCCTCACAATCAGTTAGTATTAGTAAATTATTGCTGCCACTTTCCATTATTTATGCACTCTAAATTTAGTTTATCACAAATTGTACAACAAATATTAATCAATTAAATGTTCTCGGTTAAAGTTATTGAAATTATATTGACCTCAGTTAAAAGAAAAACAAGTTTTTTTTCAGAACCAGACAGCTATTTAATATCTTGCTCGGCGTGTTTGCGTAGAATTCCTGTTTGATGAAAACAGGTATCATGAAAGTGCAAGGGTTTTTAATTTCATTATTTTTGAGACTCGTTGGTAAATTTTAAATACTTCTTGCAAAATTTTCTCCCTAAAGCCTTTCTACCGAGTTTCAAAAAAGGGTATACATAGAAAGAATGCCTATACTTTTGTGTGCCTGCATACTCCCCCTGGTCTTTTTTTGCTTTCCTTTTTGTCTACAGCCTTCGAAAACGTCTGTGGAGGGAATATTTCATCGATATTTTTTCCGTTTTCTCGGAAACTAACCTACCAAATCTGATATTTAGGTTTAAATGAATAGAACGGAGTTGAAAACTCCATTCAATAAGCGGTTATGCCCAAACTTTTTTTGCACATAAAATTATGGCCCTCGAATTTTTCTCAAAAACTAAGTTCCTAAACCTGAGATTGTGGGTTCAATGGAAATAACGGGTAGTGGGAAGCTCCCCTGCATTAGCGGTGCCCATCTTTTTTTTGCATCTGTGGTGCCCAAAAAAATTTAATCGTCCTCAAAAAATTCATTTTTTGAGCGTTTTTTTAAAATTTGTTGAATTTAACCAAAAAAAATACCCTTCTATATCCAGTTTTCCCAAGTTGGGTTTATATTATCAAAAAAGCGCCAGTCATGAATTGTTCTAGAAATTCAAAGAGCTTAAAAGGTATCTATTTTTTAATGTTGACTTGCGTTCATTTCTCTTTTCCAATCTCCGATTGGCTAACTCAAGTAATTCTATTTGTTCACGCTAAAATTTACTTGATCATTTGACTTTCATCTTATTTTTTCAAATTAATTGCTACATGGAACAAAAATTACTCGCTTCATTAGCCGGCGTAAATTGGACTAAAAGAAACGTCGATTGTTAGTTTCAAAAGTGTTTTTTTTTCTTTATTTCCCCGCTCAAACAAATTAATTATCGACTTTTCAATTTGCTTCATTAGGTTAAGTTTATAAAAGGGCTAAAAAAACTGTCGATAAAAATTTGTTCAAATCGAAGAAGATTTAGGGTGGTATTTGGAGGTTTTCGGTTCACCTTGAAATCATTGGCTTTTTCAAAATATCTATAGGTGATGGGATTATCCTTAAAATTGATTTTATTGATTTTCAAATTTTTTGTCAAGTTCGATTTGAAAGAAAGAAAAACAGGTATCAAAGAGAAAAGTTTTGTTCTCAAAAAATACCTTCTTTTTGCGTCGTTTAATGACCGAGAAAAGTTTAATTCATGTTTGTGCTCCGAGGGGAAGGGTACTTCTGCTTGGGACGGCAAAAGATTGTGGTTCGATTCCGGCCGGTACCTGCTTTTTGCAAACTGGTGTTTTTTTTGGACTGTCGTCCGTCTGTTTACTTTTGTCGGCTTCGTTCCCATAGCCCTAACTTTTCTGAAGGTTCAGCTTTCTTTCAAGTTACTGCAGCACCCATGCTTGACGACAAAGCCCAGGTAATCGATTACAGTCGAGACGTTTTTTTGCCACCTGAAAATTTTCGGCTAGTTTAGATTATTGTCTGTCTGCTTATTTATTGTTTCTGTGGATCCGCGCGGAAAAGACTTTTTTTAAAAAAAATATTGACTTTATTCTAGCCTTCTGAACGCTCCTTGTGAAGTTTCTAATGGTTCAGACAGTTCCGGATATTTTGGGTTATTTGCAATGTTTGTTAACAAAAGCGATATTTTTAGTTGATTTTAATCAGACTCTTTCTTTTTTGTATCCGAATCTGTGCGAAACTCTGCTTCGCCTCTGTGCTAATGTTGTTATGAAATGTTTTCCCAGACAAAGGTATGAATATTTGACTTTTTTTAAAGTATTTTCCAGCTTAATTTTCTTTAAATGTTTCTTGTTTGCTTTAGTTTTAATATGCTTTAATGCAAGTTACGCTTCTGTTATGTTGCCAGCTCATTTTTTGCGACGCAGCTCGATCAGTTTCTTGTACATTTGTGGTAATGACTATTATTTTGTATTTCGTGATTTGAAATAGCATGATCTGTGTCCGCTCATTCATGCACATTCATCGCTGTTGGCACTGGCGGAGTGGTTATCACAGTTCTCTGATAACTTTGAGCTGCAACTTGAATCCCGTTATTTTTTCGGATGTGCCGTTTTTCATTGCTTCTTTCTTTTATATTTGTTTTTTTATTGCTTTTCGGAGCCTTTTTGTTGATTTCATTCTTTGTGTTTGCGAACCAAGCTACGCCGCTGTGTTATCTATCTATACAACTATACATTATTTTTTTTGGCGTTTCTATTGACACATGTTTAAGAAGTCCCTATGTTCTCATGTTTTAATAAAATTTCCAAGGCCATTTTTTAACCATGCATCTTATGAAGCGCGATTGCTTAAACTACAGTTTTTTTTCTTCTATTGCAATGCAATTTTTTAAAGCTTTTAGTTTCATTGTTAAATTGACTAAATTGCAATTCTTAACCATATGGTGGGGTGCTTCCAAAGTAAACTCATGTGTTGCAGTTCTGTCGTCCAAATATGACGGATCAAATCCTTTAGGTTTTCGAGGTATGCGTTATTTTATGGTTTTTCAAAATTTTAAAATAACTCTGTAAGAAAACTTAAAATTATCAACACTGTGCTGGATTGCTATTAGGGTACACTCTGGGGTTGCAAATCCGACATCCAAATCTTGCTGCTCAACACCTATTGCTTTCCCAGATTAGGCGTTCTTATATGATTTTTCCAATCTTTTTTCTCAAAAAAAAAATAGATTAAAAAAATACTTACAAAATATGATTTTTTTACCCAATGGTGTGTTGGTGTAAGGGTACTTTCAGGATGGGTTTTAAATCTGACCTCCAAATATAAGTGCTCAAATCTTTCTGGTCTCCAAGAAATGACGTTTTTTTATAACTTTTTCAATTTTTTCAAACCCTTAAAAAGCCACGAAATTTTTTTGCAGAAAAAAGTTATGGATTTCGGAAAAGCACGTTTTGTATAACTTTGGACCGTTTGTTAGAAAGTTTTTGACTGTTCTTAGAATGTACCCTAAAAAAACTGAGATGAAGAGTTTAATCGAAAGAACCCGTTGCAAGAGTTTTTCTGCAGAAGCGGTGACTCCCTAATTTTTTGTCAGAAAAATGTTGTCCTTGAGAAATTGTTAAGTCCAGTTGTTGAAGTTACGCATTTCATCCCGCATTAGTATAACAAATTCAATAATATCAGACGCGTACCTCCAGCTTCAGCGACGCCCCTAGTTTTCTTTTATCGAGATAAGCGAAAATTTTGGTATACCTAATTTTACCAGTATTTTTATAATTTTTTCTACATATGTTTTGTATATGTTTGTGTTGTATCGCAAGTGCCGCGAAACTCCGCTTCGCCTCTGTGTTTAATGATGCCTTGCATCATTTGAAGCAGTTGGTTATATTGTTTAAAGATATCGGTGTTGATTTCAGATCTTTGTGTCTTTGCTGGCGGCTGAATTTGAAATAGCTGTCGACTTTGATTTAGTGTAAAGAAGCTATGAATTTGTTTATTTGCTGGCTGTGTGATTTCCCAGGACACGATGAGACTGAGCTTCAGGCTCATCTGAAGACATTGGAGCATGTGAAAAATCTGGTTGCTCATAACTTGTTTTGCCCCGAGTACCTCGAATCACTGAGTCGATCGAATTTCTTCGAATTGGAACGGAATGGAAATTGTGTCTCTACAGGTGTAGTGAGTAGAGTGAATAGACCAGCAGCAGATGGTCTGCTGGCCGAAGTGAAAGTAGAGGAGGTCAATCAGCCGCGAGAAGTACAAGAAGCACAGCATGGAGCAGAAGAGCAACAAGGAGAAACACATGAACAAAGAGAAGAGCACCATGGCACACAACACTCGCGATAAACAGTACAAATAGGACAAAAAGAAGCAGAGAATTAACGAAAAATAGGCTCGACCTTTGATGATTTCATTAATGACGGGCCTTTTTAAAAGCGACTTAGACAAGCGAGCATTAGATCTGTTAATCTAAAGAGAACTGCAGCCTGTGTTACTCGTTGAAGACATAGCAATGGAGCTACGAAGATCAGAGCTAAGAAAAAGAGAAGGAGAAATAAGGAGGGAAAAGTCACTGTACGTTGTTATTGATCTATTTTTATTTGTTTGTTGATCTGTCATATGATCATATTTACGCTGCATGTTTGTATTCAATTTTTGTTTTCTTTTTCTGTTTATCTTTATGTTGCTCAAAGTCTATTGACGAGCAAATGAGTAGTATGCGTTGCATCAGCTCATTGAACGCATTCATTATAGATTGTAATTTATATAGCACCAACTGATGTGTTAATTACTAAGACAGCTCGGTGGATGGATCCATGGAGAAGGCAGTTGGTTCGAATCCCGTGAAAAGATTGTTTTTTCTTTTTAGTTCTTTTTTTTCCAGGCTTTAATTTTTTGTGGATTTTTTTATGCTCCCCTCTGCCGTTTTTTGGTTGTATTTGTGAAGTGCCGCATGGGTTATGAGGTCAATTTTTTTTCGGCTCAAGTGTCTGCTCAAAGATTATCGGCCTACTTGCCACATCACTGATTTTTCTTTTCTCGTGATTAAGGAAACTTCCCTTGTAGTTGAAAGTGCAAGTGTTGTTCATTCTAGTCTCAAGTGGGACTTAAAATTGAAGATTTTTTCATGAAATTATATTTTTATCTCAAATCTTTGTTTCCGAGACGTTCAATGGTTTCTTGAAAAGTTTTTAAGATTTAAATTTAAACTAAACCAGAATTTGAAATTCTTCACTTTAAACCAAGTTGAAGTCTAGGTATCTTTGATCTCGAGTGGTGTTATCTTTTTAAGCTCGAGAATCTAGCCTTCAGTTTTTATGCTTGAGCGGCCACGACCTGATTTAAGAAAAGAAATTGACTTTTCTTAGAAACTGCTCTATGAATTCCGAAAGAACCGGTTGCAAGAATTTTTCCTAAAAAAGTTTTGACTCCTTTTTTTGTTAGAAATTATCTTGAGCACTTATTTTGGTAGAAAAACAAAATAAGGTGTTGAGCAAAGTCCAATTTTCGAAAATAATCATTTCATTCCGCATCAGTATAACAAATTCCAAAAATATCACGGTTATCTCTAGCTTTAGCTGGTCCCCTAGTTATCATTTAACGAGACATAAGAAAGTTTTGCTTCGATTGGTTTTTTTCAACATTCAAAAAAAATTTCGACCTGTTTTTTTAATAATTGTTTGTTTCGCAAGTGGCACAAAAAACGGAATAAACATAGTTTCGAAAGTAGATTTTATTCTTAAGATATTGCAGTGGAATTAAATATTGATCCTTTTTTCTCAAATTAGGTAAATTTTTTTATTTGAGATGAACTTCAAAGTGCTTCAAAGTCATGTTTTTTTAAAGCTTGAAAGTTGAAAGTTTTTGAAAGAGCGAGAAGATAATGAGTTCCATACTGGCCAGGCGCTAGTAATTTTTTTAACAGATTTTTTTCTGGGAAAACTTTAATTATCGGACTATTGGTTGTCTGCTTTTTTTGTCGTCTGCTCTCCATTTAATGCAACTTTTTTGAAGCAAGTTTTTGGGTTTCAAAAGGAGTCTTTGAGTTGCAAAACTCTTGATCTCAAACTTTTCATGGTATTTTTGTTTTCGGTACCCATCTTTTTTGGCTTGGATGGCGCTCGATAAAGATTTCTGAATGCTACTCACCGCTGTCAATTGTGTTTCTCGGAATTTTTTTACTCAAGTTGAACATCAATCGGGATAAATTTGTGAAGTCTTTGGCGATATAGGTTTTTTGTAAGGTTTTTCAGACTAAGCGATGAAGTGTTCTGACATGCGATCTGTTGATCCGCGAATGCTATGCAGTAGATTTTTTGGGGTTAAAATAGCATTGGTTTTATGTCAATGAATTCATCTGCTTTTCAGATGCTTGACGTGATTGTTTTATCTTAGTATTGAGAGTGAATTTGTTGATGCTATTTGCAGCATCTGGATTTGAATCGGGATGTGCGATCTATATAGATGCTGGCTCTGTGATTTTCCGGGTGAAAGTACTAGTCAACTGCAAGCTCACGTAAAATCTTATGAACACGTGAAGAAGCTGACGGAAAACAATCTGTTCTCCTCAGAATATTTAGAAGAACTCAGGAGGTCTAAGTTTTTTGAGATTAAAAACTTCGCTTTCGTGTCTAAATGTGTTCGTGTTGAGCAAAGTCAGCTGCCGTGTTGTGAACAAATTCCCAGTGAAGGGGGAAATGAAAACGAACAACAGGCGCAAGAGCGAACTGGGGCTAAAAGAAAAGCTGACTCGACCACTCAGACGATGCCTCCTTTGAAGCGTCTGAGACCAGCGGAGGCTGATAGAAGCAATGATGATTTGCGGCTAAGAAATGAAAACGCGCAACGAAATGAGAACTCAAACTTGATGTTCTTAACGTGTCGACTCTGTCAGAAGGTTTTTCAGTACAAGTCGAAGAGTTCGCTGGATCAGCACAACGCGAGTGGAAAGCATAAGACGATGGAGAGGACTGCGAAGCGGCCATATAAATTATACAAGTGTTGTGGTTGTATGAATATATTTTTGCATTTCCAGGTAGCGCAACATTTCAATGCTATTAAGGGAATTACAGCAAAAAGTGGCTGTGTCACTGCGACGGATAAACATGGTCTCAACTGGCGATGTGTGGGAAATATGTTCGCATGTCAATACTGTAAAGTTACCTGTCGCAGCCTGAACGAAACTCTTGATCATGTCAATCAGCCAGCTCACCTGCGAATGAAATCTTCTCAGGTAACTGGTAACAGCGAAAACATTACGTGCAACTTGTGCGATAAAACTTTTCGTAAACTTAATGATGTGATATCACATGGATTGGGCGAAAAACATTGGAAGAAAATGGAAGACATGGAAATACGTCGAAATGTTATGTGATGGTTATCATCGTACTCCGATTCATATTAAATGTTTCCGTTCGTCATTTATTATGTTTTTTTTGAAGGCTCGACTGATTGTTTTCAGCGCCTTGATGTAAATTTTTGATGATGAGAATTCATGTTACATTCTGCAATTTTATTTTTGTTTTACGACTGTTTTGGATTTTGCGATAGTTTAAAAGGGTGGCACTTATAAATTCAAAGGTGGCTAGGAATGTTTAATTTTCACTCCATACTATCTTCGGCGTGGCTTCCGTGGGGGATCGATGGCATCCCTTTTTCCGCTGCCGGTCCCATCTTGACGAGACGGATGGCACTGGGACCCTCCCAACCGTGATCGAGCAGATGGGATTCGAACCCAAGCCCTTCGTGTTAAAAGCCGGGCTTCGTATCAAAGCGGCCACGGCCGCTCAACATTCATGCATCATGTGATAGTTACCGCTAGACATCGTTTTCTTGTATCTAATCAAACTGCTCCTCCTTTTGTGTTCGCATTAGATATATCTTGTACCTTTTTAAGTTGTGATAATGTCAAAACCTGGTTGATGTTGATGTCTGAAAATGAAGCGATTGAAAATGAAAATGATCACGGAAAAAACCTTAGTTAGAACTGTTGTAGGAACTTCATTCGATAGAAATGGCTGAAGTTTTTGTAGATGAAGTTTTTTATTAAGAGTAATGAATGTAGTGAAGACAAGACTCTTATATAGGTTTGCTGATTTTTTTCAGGAAAAAGTCTTAAAACATTGATGCATTTAAGTATATATGAACTTATTGAGTTCAATTGAAATTCATCTGCTGAAAGTGACTCAGCTAGCACTCTCCAAATACGAACGTGCAAATGGCGCAAAAAAACGTGAACGATTTCTAGTTTCGAAAGTGGAATTTAATTTTTAGATTTCGGGCGGAATAAAAACTTTGCCTGTTGATCTAGTTTTCTCAAGCTGGCTTAATGTTATCAAAAACGCGCCAATCATAAATCGTTCTAGAATTTCAAAGAGCTTAAAGGGCATCTATTTTTTTCTTCGAAATTCGAAAGTTGAGATTTTTTCAACAAAGTTAGTGTTTTTTTTACGTGTACTATGAATCTTTTCCAATCTTCGATTGGCTATGTTCTTGTTATCAAGGTTTTCGTTGTATGAAAAATGTTTTGAAGCTCCGCTTTGCCTCAGTTTTTTCCAAATTGTTTTCTCCTAATTATTACGCAACCTAAATCGAACTTGCGTCTTGTTGTAACTTCGTGATCTGAACAATTTCTCTGTGCTGTTGTTGTTGTTTTCAGCCGCGAGTAGGAGTTTCCGGCCTGCTCAAATCGAGCCCGTGAAATTATTACACAAAAAATTATCGCACTCGGAAAAATCAAATTTTTCATTTTTGTCGTTTTTTGTAGTCTTTTGGACATTTTTTGAATATATCCTCCCAAATCCTATATTTTCGGTCAGAACAAGCTCTGGAAAGCTCCCCTGCATTAGCATCTAAGCCCAAGTTTAAGGAGAAACAACTCAGGTTTTGGGCAAAGTCCGATTTTTAAAATTACGCATTTCATCCCGCATCAGTATATTTAATTCAAAATTTATCAAACGTGTAGCTTCAGCGAGGCTTTTGGCTTTTTTATCGAGATATGGGAAAATTATGGTTTGCCTTTTTTTCAACATTTTTCATTTGTTTCGATATGTTTTTCATATGTTTGTGTTGTATCGCAAGTGGTGCGAAGTGTCGCTCCCCTTTATGATTAATGATGTTTTTCAACATATTAAGCAGTTGTCTGTAACGGTTAAAAGTTTCTGTTTTGATTTCAGATCTTTGTTTTTGTCTTTTGCTGACGGCTGAATTTGAAATAGCTGTCGACTTTGATTTTCTGTTAAAAAGTTATGAAATTGTTTATTTGCTGGCTGTGTGATTTCCCAGGACACGATGAGACTGAGCTTCAGGCTCATCTGAAGACATTGAAGCATGTGAAAAATCTGGTTGCTCATAACTTGTTTTGCCCCGAGTACCTGGAATCAATGAGTCGATCGAATTTCTTCGAATTGGAACGGAATGGAAGTTGTGCCTCTACGGGTGTAGTGAGTAGGGTGAATAGACCAGAAGCAGCTGGTCTGCTGGCCGAAATGAAAGTAGAGGAGGTCAATCAGCCACGAGAAGTACAAGAAGCACAGCATGGACCAGAAGAGCAACAAGGAGAAACTTATGAACAAAGAGAAGAGCACCAACATGGCCCAAATCGATTATCCGAATCGCAACAAGAACATATTGTTCAAGGGCAGAAACTTCTGGATTCAAAAGCGAGGAAACGAAAAGTGGTTTTGGCCCACGATGAAGAGCCCCCTCATAAGCGACCAAGACTGGCGACAATTTCTACTATGGATAACTATAAGATATATGTGACATACCTTACTTGCGTGTGCTGCGATATAGGATTTCCCTACAGCAAGAAGTCATTTCAAAACCACATTGATAGTGCAATGCATTCGAAAAGGAAGAAATATATCCAATATGCTTTTTATAAATGTTCAAAATGTGAGAATAATTTCGAAGAATGTCAAATATCGGAACACTTTGGACCGAAAAGGAAATTCGGCTCAGCATTGCGATGTGCTAAAGTAAGGAGAGGAATGAATTCTGTATGTGCGATAAATATGTTTAATTGTTCAAATTGTAATGTCAGCTTCAACAGCTTAGATGCAGTATTAAAGCACATCAATGATCCGGAACACTTGCAGAAGAGAGATGATATTCCATGGAACTGTTGGAAACGCCGCAATATTTTTAGGGACGGAATCGGGGGCATATTCTGCAATGCCTGTCTCAGATCTCTGAAATCTGTCAATGCTTTGATATATCACGGAGTTTGTAATAGCTACCATTTGATGCAAGTTGAGCATCAGGATCGCCCTATGACAGGCTATTATGCAAAACAACTAATCAAATGAAATAGAGCTCTAATTAGTCGAGTTTTTATCAAGAAAGGCAAAATGAACTTGTAAATTTGCACTTTTCTACTGATATTATTATTAATTTGGTTTTAATCCAGTTTTGGTTTTAATTCATTTTTAGTTTTAATTTTGGTTTTCGCAATGCTGTTACATTGTATTTCCGCCATAAAACTGTTGCCAATTTGTATGAAAGTGCGCTTCCGCATAGTTTTTTCTTTGGTCGCTACAACATCACTGTTTGAATCAGAGCTTTTCTTGGGTTTTCATGAGACGAGGCGATTTTTTCGGTCAACCATGTTGATGTAACAAAAGTCTTTCAGTTCTGAAGTTTTCAATCCCCATGACGGAAGAGCTTTCAATCTTTGTTTTTTTTGGATCAAAATGATTGTGTTTATTGCCGATTCTTTTCGTATTACAGATTTTTTTCAGAGAGACATTAAATTCAATTTTTGATTTGCAAAACCCGGTTTTTCAAGTTTCAGACAATTGAAAAAGTTAAGTTGGTAACCCTGGGAGCAAGGCGGCGTTGATTTTTCCGCCGGAGTTTCTCCGGAAGAAGACTTTTCTTCTTTCGAGGAGGAAAAAAGATGGTCTGCACCATGCAACAGGACATTGTGCGTATTTTCGCACTCAGGTTTTGTGCATTTTCTAGCCTTTGACATTAACTTCTTAGTCTTAGCAACCAGTACTTATAGGTTTTCGCCGTACCTGCGAACGATCCTGAAAATTTGATTTGTAACTTATTGGGCTGGTGTAATACCAAGTACTGTTTTCGCGGAAGTTTTGTTCGGTCTTACGGAGGTTAACGGCGTCTGGGTTATATCTTAGACCAGGTATGTCTTAGTAAGTATCAAAAAGTTGATAACAGAGAGATGCGAGTAGCTTTTCTCGCGCGTGCTGCAACTAACTTGCACCGACAAGAAAACCATTAATGGTTTTAAATCAAAAAAACGGTTGCCAGAGCTGACGGTGGCTTAGCCCATAACTATCGTAGATTGCACTCAAAACCTGTTCTATAGGCCTCCATTCCTGGGGTGTTGGTCTACAACTGTCGTAGATTGCGCTTGACTCTTGCTATAAAAGGCCTCCGTTTTTTGTCTGAACCTATTTGAAAGGCTTCCGTTTGTCCACTCTCTCTCTCTCTCTCTCTCCTAATTCGTATGGTATCTGATAAAATCTTGTAATCAGCCTCCGAATTTCTGTTGATTTTCATTAAACCCCTAGGGCGTATGTGACAAGATTTTTTAGTCACTGTTTGACTAATTGTGACAAGATATTTTCTCTAATTCAGCTTCAAATAATTGCCTAAATCTCTGCTTCGAACAATTGCCTCGAGTATTAAAAGCTTTTGCTGGTCGGGATCCTTCAAATGAAATTGTACAATTCTGCAAGCTTTTGCAGATACCCACTGTGTCGTCACCGCGGTCCAGAATTAGAGTTGAGTTCAACCCGAGAATATTACCTCAACTGCTCTTTTCGTGGCAATTCGATAACGTCGCGCAATATTTTTCCCGTATTTGTGGTTCGTCTACTCTGGGTCAAGGGTCGTAAATGGTGCTCGCATTTCCATTAATGAAGATGCTTCAAAATTTATTGAATATCGTGGAAGTTTTTGGCTATTTCACCCCATTTCCGGCGTAAAAAGGCTATTTACATTCAAACGCTGAAAATATCCTTTAATCTCGGTTACGGAGGGTCGGTCATAGTTCCGGTCGGGTCCTAGTATAGTTCAATTTTTCTCAACTAACCTAACATCAACCCTTTTTTCTGTTGACTGGAAGTCTCAGATCGTTTACTCTGACCTGATACCCTAGACCGATGTGATCTTCGAGGTTTTTCGGAAGCTTTGGAAGAAGCCACTTCCCCCGAACGCGATGAAACGGAACTTACTTGTTCCTCAGCTCCTACAAAGTTCCTAGCTTTGTATTACTTCATCGTGTCTTTTCGTCACCAGGTCATGCCACTGGTCTAGTTCGTCAACAGTCTTATCTCTATTAGTAGCAGTTTTGGCCAGATGACTAACATCGTTTAAAAAGCCTTGTTCAGGAAAACATTTGCGTTTTTGATATAGTTCTTAAGATTTACTTAAGTTTGTTCTCTATGGCTGCGTGAGTGTATTTATAAACACTGAGGTGCTTAATTTCAAGAAACTTTGGTACCTTGTGGCCTAATTCGTGGTTATTGAGGGAAACTTATTATGCTTTTCACATCAAGAGAGGGACGTATCAAACCTTAATTCGATGCAAATTAAACTTCTCTTTTTGTGGCTATTTGGTCGATAACGGCGCGCCTTTATCCCGTATTTCTGGTATTTTGCAGTTTTTCTGGTTCGTCTGTTCCCGCGTTGCGGCACAAAATCTTGCTCGCAGTTATCAGTTTTGCTTGCCTTTGATGAAAGAGGTTTTTTCAAAATAAATTGAATATTCGGGCGTAAAAAGGGCCTATAAATGAATCCAATAACCAACGGCCACATAAAGCACCGAACCTTTTTAGCAAATGATTAATTTCTTTTTTTTTTGAAAAATGCTGATTTGACCGACAAAAACCTGTCAATCAAGGTCGGCCAAGGTCGTTTTATGAAATTAACTAATCACTTTTACATTGAAAAAACCAAAAGTTTTTTTGAGAGTTTCGAACCCGGTTACGGAGGATCGGTCGTATTTGATGTCGGTAACGTAAGCCGCACTGCCCTTGTCTGTCTTTTGACTACATTTATAGTTCATTTGTGTGCAGTTACGTTCTTGTTGTAGCTTTCTATTTGCTCAGCAACAGTTATGAGATAGTTTTTTTTTTAATTCTTAGAACTTTTATCTGAATTTTTGTTGCCTGTAATACATGGAATTTATGCCAGACTTCCGATGCCGGTTTGATTAAAGTGGGTTGACTTGATTTTGTTGTTAATTGATTGAGTTTGTGTGGTTGTGGTTTGAGAGTATTGTGATGTTGGTAAAGCTGGTGAAGAACAATGCCTACTTCAAGAGGTACCAGGTCAAGTTCAGGAGGAGGCGGGAGGGCAAGACTGACTACTATGCGAGGAAGCGACTGGTCACCCAGGCCAAAAACAAGTACAACACTCCCAAGTACCGAGTGGTGTCCAGAGTGACCAACAAAGACGTCATCGCACAACTGGTCTACTCCACAATCACCGGAGACAAGGCAAGACACTCAACAATCACTCGCAACATGCTAACACTCCACTTCAACTTACTAGCTAACCACTAACCTTGTTTGTAAATTGGACGATCCTGAAAGCGCAACTGTTGTCAAAATCCGCCTTTAATCGCTTGCCTATTGATGACTTCAAGCGATAGTCAATTTTAATAATTATAGCTTGTAATTGGTTTCGGTTTAAAAATTTCTATCGAATTAAGCAAAAATGTGTAATTGAATCCGTTCACAGAGGCTATTTGTAGTGGATTTAATGCATGAAAAGCTGCTGTTTCAAACTATGTCAAAGTATTTGTATTTGCAATTTGAGACATTAGATATAATTGGTGTAAAATGTTTTTAAACTCCGTGCTTAAACTGTTTTCAATTGTTTTTAATTTTTAAGCTGTTTAGGTGGTGGTTGCAGCCTATGCACATGAGTTGCCCAGCTATGGTCTGCCGGTGGGTCTGACGAACTATGCGGCATGTTATTGTGTGGGACTCCTCTTGGCCAGGAGGACACTGAGGCACTACAAGTTGGATGACATCTACGAGGGACAGGCAGAGATAGACGGCGAGCAGTTCGAGGCAAGTACTCATCGCGAACAGCTGCACAAGACCTTAGAATAATATACCACTGCAACACAAAGCGGCCATTTTTACTACCGTTTCTCAGATTTGTTGGCGAAGATTGTATTTGAATTTGAGTTGTTGCGTTTTTGTTCTGTTGAATGTTTTCAACCGTAATTTGCCGCCTTGTCTTTCATGGGAATCTATTAACTAATGATTTGCTGTAATGCAGGTGGAGCCGGTGCCAGGCCAGAGGGGTCCGTTCCGTTGCTATCTGGACACTGGACTGGCCAGGACCTCCAAGGGGGCCAGGATATTCGGGGTGCTCAAGGGCGCAGTGGACGGGGGCATGGCAATACCTCACAAGTACAAGCGATTCCCAGGCTACACTCCTGCAGAGGGGGAGGATGAGGAGAACTATGATGCAGCCGAACACAGACGGTAAACACAGATACGATTTCTTATCTTCTTGAATGAGCTTCAGATCTTTATCATTTAAATGCTTTGAATGATTTTATACATCTGTATCTATATCTGTGTACGGAGCCCACTGCACGACTATATGTATTTTGATTTAATCGTTAACAGAGCTTGTCAAGTCACAGTTGTTGTCGCTAAGAGTAATTGAGCTATTAGCCTAGGTAATATTTAGCCTCTACTCGAATAACATGGTTGATGTGTCAGGTACATCTTCGGACAACACGTGGCAGACTACATGCGCTCTCTGATGGAGGAAGATGATGACGTCTACAAGCGACAGTTCTCCCGATTCATCAAGAACGGAATCACTCCCGACAACATGGAGGCACTCTACAGTAAAGTACACGCGGCCATCAGAGCCAACCCCGAACACAAGAAGGCGGAGAAGGCAGCCTTCAAGCCGGGCAAGAGATTCAACGCCAAGAAACTCACCTACCAGGAGAGGTTCGCAAAGAGACCTCGACTGGAGGACCTGCAGGAGAGTTAGACTCCTCCTCACCTCTTCTGCAAAAGAGGGCCAAGAGAACTTATTTCGTGCAAACATTGAACTGCCTATGTTTTTGATTTCATTGTTGATTTATAAGGGATCAATTATGACATAAACGCATGTTTCGTGTTTCACTTGAATTGACTTCTCAAGGCGACTTTGTACTGTCAAGGTGACTTCTCAGGTGGAGCTTAGCTTTGTATTTTAGTATGAGGCTTTTTTCAAGAAAACTTCCAAGTGTTTTTGCAAAATTTTGGCGTTATTCAGTTATCATTACTCCACCCCCTCCCCCCTAATACACAGATTTCAAAGAGGTTCCCGCACAAAGCTACAATTGGACAATATAAACATAAAATTTAACATCAATTTTTGGCAGACTTTGAATTTACGGCCAATGATTTGCGCTGTTTTGTTGAACCGGATAAGTAACGAAAGCCGACCAATTTCAATTGCGTGAATCCAAACTCATACAAACTCATACTTGTTAAGAAATGCCGTACAACTTTTAATACGCTCGCGTGAAAAGCGTATTGATATTACACCCTGAGTGCACCCTTGATCAGGGTTTTCCGATAAGAAAAGGTTGTACGGCATTTCTTAACAAGTATGAGTTTGGATGTGTAAAATCAATACGCTTTTCACGCGAGCGTATTATAGTGTAATAGTGCGATACGACATTTTTCCCAGCCTAAGTTGTAAATGAATGTGCTACTTTTGGTGGCACTTTGAAGTAAAAGTCTGCATAAGCAGTATATTTATGTGCTTTGACATTTGGTTGTTAAAGCGTTAACACAGTTGATGCTTTTTTAATTCGCCAAAATACAGTGCTGATTTAAATTAACCGGACATAACGCGGTAAACTTAAAACGCGTTTTTCTCAAATTGGGTTGAGTTTAGGTGAAAACTCATGAAGACAAAACTTGCTTAGAATTTTAGCAGAATTAATATGGTGCAATTTGTTTTGCCAAATTCAGGCCCAAAATTTTACTCCAAAAATGGGTCATTTTGGCCTTTCTTAGTTAATCAAAAATTACGCCAAAAATACCCAATCGATCACAGACATAATTAGATCAAAATGAGTTTCTTACGTAGCCCAACAAACTTTAATAAGGCTATATTCTCCAAAACATTGTATAAGTTAATTTATTTTGTTTGATAGATAAAAAGGTCGTTTTTACTGTATAAAATAGCAACTATTTATTTAAAAACAATTTTTAAATGGTTTGCAATTTTTTTTGGAGAATATATCCTTCTTAAAGTTTGTTGGGCTACGTAAGAAACTCATTTTGATCTAATTATGTCTGTGATCGATTGGGTATTTTTGGCGTAATTTTTGATTAACTAAGAAAAGCCAAAATGAGCCCGAATTTCGCAAAACAAATTACACCATACTAATTCGGCTGAAATTTTAAGCAAGTTTTGTCTTCATGAGTTTTCATCTAAACTCAACCCAATTCGAAAAAAAAAACGCGTTTTAAACTTCAAGTTTAACGCGTTTTGTCCGGTTAATTTAAATCAGCACTGTACTTTTGTTATTTGCAAATTTTGAATGACTGACGCAAATTTCTTGTCTCTTTTTTTTTGCTCAGATTCCTCTATCACACCAAGCCGAAAAAACGACACTAATTGGAAAAATAATTTTCTAATTTTTTGAGACTGGTCGGAACATTCTGTTCTACTTGCATAGTAACTGGCCATCCTTGCTTACATTTAGTTTTTTTTGGCCTGAAACGTTTTGGTTTGATTTGTTTCATTGGCTTAGTTGCCTTGTATCGCTTGCGTCTTTTTCTGTGAAGAAATTTTTTTTATCATGCCGAAGGAATAATTTACTTTCTTTGTTTACAGGTTTCGTAACCGCTCTGTGAATTTTGATTTAATGCTCGGTTAAGGCTGACAATTTTCCTTCTTGTAATGACCCTTCTTGAAAAAATGTTAGGCAAATCGTGAGGTATATATTTTTTTGCTTTTGACTTCCAGCTGATATTCTGTCCACTGGTTTGCCTCGGTATATTTGTGATGTATTGCAAGTGGTGTGTAGCTTTGATTTGCTTCTTAAGTTTCGTTTTGTATTTGAACACATATCAGGTAAACGTTTCTCAAATTGTTTGAAAACATCTCTCTAAACTCGAATGCTCTCTGCCAAAAGACACCAGCATGACTTTGACGAGGCTTAATCTTTCAAATCTCAAATTTAATCCATCCTTTCAACAGCGGTGACTTGTTCTTTTTGTTTTTCGTTGCTGCTTTTTTGCTTTTATGGGAACCAATTTTAGTTCTTTCTTATAATTTGCCCTCCTAGTTTACTAAAAGAAAACGTATACCCAAAAGTTAAACCGATTTTGTAGTTCTATGGTATCCATTTTTTTGAGGATTCTAACCAGAAAGAGCCAATAATGCGTTAACAATTATCTATATCCAAAAAGTTTAGCCAACTTGGAAAGAGTCAATGAACGCAAGAGAAAAAAAATTGAAGTCAAATGAACTGAACTTGAAAACAAATTCCAAGTCGAACCGCGAAAAGGCAAATTTCTTTTCCAGGAAAAAAAGTAAAGAAAAATCATCACGACTTACATAAGAGTCTGAATAACGTGCAGCAAATCTTAATGACTGTGCCTTTTTTGAGAAAAAAAACGACGCTTAGCGAGCAAAGCGGAACTCACTTTTTCGCTATTTTCCAACAAACGGTTGCCCTCCGATTGTTTTTGTCCTCCGATTGTCACTTGTGGCAGAAGGAAAACATTAGAGCTTCAAATATTTTTTATTATTTCAAAAATTAAACCTCAACTTAAATATCCAATGTGATGAATCAAACCCAAATCATTATCAATTGATCGCTTTTTGCGACGTGTATTCTTAAATGCGTGGCTCTTTGCTGTCAGCTGCTACTTCTATCAGCTCTGGCTCTGAAATCTTGAGGGATCTCTCCTGACTCGCAGCTGGACTCATCGGAGTGCCAGGGGAGCTGTCGGGCATCACGAACACGTCACTCGGCTCCACCTACCAACAGTTTGTTTACTCATCTGTAGAAGTCACCCGTGTAGAAAAACTTCATAAGTTGGATGCAGTTGGAAGCCAGTTGCTTTCTCTTGATAGTTTTTTTTTTTGAAAATTGCGTTTCCCCAATAAAATTAACTGTAAAAAACATCACAAAAGCCAGATAAAGTAAAAAGAGGATTTTTGTCTCAAAGCCTTCAAAAGTTGTATAAACAACTGTTACGTTGTATACTTGAACAAATTTTGGCACATTTTACCCACAATTTTGTAAAAAAAAAAGATAGAATAAAATCAAAGCTCAACAAAGTGGTGGGGAGGTTCACGATAACCAGCAGTACCTGTACATTGACACTTCTGTCTGGATCAGGTGTCCTTGGGGGGTTGTCTGCCTGGGCCACAATGGATGAGTCAGCTGCTGCAGGTGGTTGGGGGGAGTGGGAGGGGGAGGGGGAGGGGTTGACTGCCCACTTCTTGTTGATCGTGTCCAGTCTCTGTTCGTTGCCCCCACCTCCAGCTGATTTGCCCCCTCCTGTCTTAGTGGTCCACTTGGTAGTCGCATCTCCTAACACACACGTAGAGATAAACATACACAAAGAGCACTGTGACCTCATTTCCTTCACCGTCTCTAGTTCTTACATTCTGAACAGTTTACCTCACCACTTGTGCTCAACTATCTTCTGCCAACACCTTTCTGCAAGAAACCGTGTCTTGAAAATGACATTTTGCTCTAAGGTGCGAAGATGATTGACCTTTTTCTTCGGTTACATTTTCAAATTCTGGGATACACAACCAAAGCAAACATGCATGAAAAATTGAATCGTCCAATGGGTTTATTTTGACATGAAAAAAAAAACAGTTGTGTCCATGTTTCTTATAAACTTAATCGTGTTTAAAAAGTATTCAATGTCTGGATGCATAAATTTTCAGTTTGATTTATCAAAGGTGTCATTTGATTTATTTGTTGTTCATTTATGGTTCTATGTGTTTTTTTTTGCAAATGTAAGTTGTCAGATGCATTTTTACTAAAAAAAAACAGCTACTTTTGTGACGATTTTAGCAAAGTGTGCGCATTATTACAAAGTAATTCGTGCGATTATTGTTGCGGTGGCATCATTTAATTTTTTAATCAATGTAAGCCAATTCAGTCTTGTTATATCGCATCAAAATCTGATTAAATTCACTGATGGTCGCCTGATCAAGGTACAATTAGTTAGACTTATATATTCCAGATTTCTTTCACCTGACTAGTATCCCCGCCCCCTAAGATGACAGAGGTGATCAAGCGACAGAAGGACAGGACCATGCCCCCTCCCGGCGGAAGGGGAAGGGGCAGGGGAGGCCCCCCTCAGGCTGGAAAGGGGAGGGGGTCGGATGTTGGTGGAATGAGGAGGGCCACTGAAGCTACTGACAAAACAGCCAACGACTTCAGGTCACCAGAGTCAAAGGTAGGACAGCGTGTGAAAGTAAAATGAGGAAGAATATTTTCCCCGTTTCTGTTTTTTTTTCACTCGAGAGTTCTATCTGGTAGAAAAACTGAACATATCGAGCAAAACGCCGTTGAAAACTGGCTTTCTACAAAAATATTTCATGATAGGTGTAAATAAAAACAACCCAATTTGAGAAAACGTTTTAAATCATTTCGTATTTTTTATTCTGCTGGGAAATCATAAAAATAACATCCAATTTTCAAAACCAACACTTATGTAAGTGTCTTCACTTATTGCATTGGACACTTAAGCAACTGCTTTATTTGTCGAATTTTATTGAGAGTTTTCTTGCATTCTTGCTGCTTCAGTTAAGAGCGAGTGACTGTGAGTATGTGTTGTTGTTGTTTATGTCCAGGTGTTGCAGGGAGTGAGTGTGATTAGCCATGATGGGGATGTGCTCACTCTGGCATTCGACGACGCCTGTGCCTCCGAGCTGGTCGGCTGTCTCAACAACGACATCAAAGAAGTGGTCCGTCAGTTCCAGGAGAAGAACCGGTTCTCGCCCGAGTTCATCCCCGAGATGGCAGAGATCATCGCCACGTGTGTGCGGGACCTGGTGAAGAATGCAGTCGCCTCCCAGATCCAGCTGGGGTTCCAGAAGAGTGGATCCAAACACAGGGAGACCATTCGAAAGACCTTCAAGTCCGCATTCTTCCAGAGTGTCCAGGTCCCTCACTTTACCAGTTAACATATTCGACCAAATTCTATCAAAGTAGTTGGTTTGTGCTTAATTGCCCAACAGTTTATGAGTCTATCCTACAGTAGTGAAAGGCGATTTATCTCACAACTAATTCATGAAAAGCCACATCTTAATGGTCTCTATTTAAAAGCATGATTTGCTGCTGTCTCGCGTCGGCCTCATTTAGACGGTTGTTGATAAACTCATGTTGGAAAGGTTCACAACGGTTCTCGAAGGCATCGACCGATTGCGATTCGTAGAAGAACTTTCTCCTCATTTGGTGTTCTTTATTACCTCTGTTCAGGTTCTGTTCGACGAGGAGACAGAGGCGATCATCTCCCGGAAGGTGAAGGACCAGCTGAAGGGCTACAGACCCCAATCCTCCCCCCACCACCTGCTGAAGGATGTGAAGGAGCTGACTAAGAAGGTGGAGATGAGCAAGACATTCAACGGACAGAACAGACCACAGTCGGCAGAAATGTAAAGTAGCTAATGAAATAAAGGTGAAATAGGAGAAGAACAAGCAGCTGTCCGGCACAACTGGAATAGCCCACCTCAAAGTCATCAACTTTCTCAAGAGTTGAAGTTGCCAAATAACTATTTTCATAAGAACCAATTTTAATATTGTTTATTTTTCTTTGTTTGTTAATATTAATTATTTAGTTTTGACGCCATTATACCCTGATGACCAATTAAATTTATAAATTTGTTTGCAACAGCAAGAGTCTTGCAATCGGACTCTTGTATTTTCTTACAATCACCGTAAGAAATCATGTGCTTTCTTCCCGGGATAAAACTCATCAAGGGTGTAGAGTGAAACTTGATAAGTGCTTCTTGCGATACTTGTATTTCCAAGCTAGAAACTTTTAAGCAATCATTGTATGAAATTGTGCGTTTTTTCTTTCGACGATTCATGCAAATTGGAAAGGACCCATGCATGAGGGGTTCAGGTCTTCACGCAGAACCGCTGTTGAGCCCTTGGTAAAGATCTATATGCATTTTTGGCTATTTTTCTGGGGTTGGGGGGGGGGGTAGTGTTACTTCACCATCAAATAACGAGCACGGATCATGGTGGGTTTGGAGCATCCGACCTTTCGATTGAGAGGTGGAGACGTAACCACTTCACCGCCGCTTAGTTTACGATCTAGTTTGGCTCGGAAGAATACCAAAAAGCATGAGTCATCGGGTGGTATCTCCTGCTGGCATCTTTTTGTCTGATAATTTGCTTTATGGCTTAATAAGTTTGGTATGTTCTTTCGAATTGCAAAATAGCTTTATGGTCCAATTTTTGAGGCTTTTTTGAAACTTCTAACATTTGCTAAAAACAACTAACTGGAAACAACTAGGGTAGGAAAAATCCTTCAAAAATTAGGAATAAGTGATTTCAAAAACTATGAACTGTTGAGTTGTAAGAAATTATGGCATAGGGTCAGTTCTTCGTAAATCGTCTAGATAAATCTCATGAAAACCCAAATTAAAGTGTCATATTAAAGTTGGTCAATTTTTATTCGGATTCAAAAAAAATTCTAGAAGTTGCTTCAGCGTGAGGAAAAGATTGGTCAGTTTCTGACAAACTATATCTACTATAAATTTGTGCTAATTTCTTGTCTACGTTACATAATAGAAGGAATTAAGCATAACTGCTTACGCAAGTTCCGCGTATCTCCAATGGGTGGTGGGTAGTTGATTTTATCTGTTGCAGCGCAAATGTAAGCGAGAGTACAAATGCATATAAACGCAAATGTAAGCGAGAGTATAAATGCATATAAAATTGAACCAAAATCTGAATGCATATAGGGACAGTAGCCAAGCGTATACAGGGTGCGTCCCGGCGGTTTCGGCGCCGGTTGGAATCCCGACTAGGTCATTTCCTTTCTAGAACTCAAATATGCCCCGAACTTGATGGGACGCTCCGTAACCAGGTTCGATCCCCCCAAAACCTATTTTAACCGTCTTTTCGCTCTAATTTGGTTCAGCCTTGATTAAGGCTGGCCTTTAAAAAGAACAGTTTGTCTCAAAGACAAATACTGGCCATTTTTTGCAGCTTGCTTTGAGTTATGCAGTTTTTATGGCTGATGTGACCGATGATAAAGTTTGTAAAGAAATATCATTGTTACCGAGTTACTTTGCCGATAAAATGCTCGAATTTAATTGTTTGAAATCCGATATTTCTATAATTCGTGGAGATTGACGCGCACATTATCGAAGTCACTAAATTCGAATTACTTTTGTTCTCCCTAATAAGATCCTGAAGGAACTTTCTTGTTCCTTGGTTTTCTGTAAGGATGGGGATATAAAAAGGCTCAAATTTCTTTTTAATTTGTTAACAGATTTTGGTTATTTGTGGGAATTAAACTTAAAAATTCAGCACAATTTTATGTTCCTCTGGAATGACGAACAGGGTTTCAAAAGTGGAAGGAATAGCCGAAAGAATTGATTGTTCATTTTTCTTAGCTTAGATGCTGAGAGCCTATCTTCAAGATAAACAAAAAACATATTTTTTCTGACTAAATATTTTCTGAAGTCGAATTTATAATTTTTGAGAGAAAGCCTGAAGAAATTACAAATTGTTTTTTTTTTGGCTGACCCCAGAAGTTCGTGTTTGTTTGTAGAGTATTCTCTTCCGTGTCTATAAAAAATTCTGCGTGCGAATGCTCGTAATTTAGATTGTTTTTTGGGTAATTAAATCAACATGTAAAATTAATATCAAACTTGTCAATGTTAGGTTACTTTCTTAGGCAAGAAAATTAGACTAAAAAACCGAGACTTCACATGGTGGGCGCTACACTGGAACAGTTTCAAGTGGGAGAATGAAAAAAATTTATTCTTGGCCTTAGAAGTTAACCTAACATGGACAAGTTTGATGATAATTTTACATGCTTCTTGACTTATTCACCCAAAAACATTCTCAATTACAAACTTTCCAAAGAAGCAGACAGATTCTTTTTATCTGTCAGGCATTTTCAAAAAAATTACAAGCATCGTTTTTTTTTGTTCATCTATTCTTCTTTGTTATCGTCAATATAATAGGTAGTGAATGGAGCATTTAAAAAACTGTTAATCGTTTGGCGAGTCTCCTACGCAGGAAAATTAGATAAAAATTAAGCGTTTTTGTGTTACTACCTCCCACTTTGTTAAAATTGCATTTTTTACTAGTTTCGTTACGAGGTTTTAGTTGGCTGTTCGCAAATCTAAGTTGCTAGACAATACCTACAGGTCAGTTTTTTGTGATAAATCTGCGGCCACGTTATCAATTAATTTGTGAATAACGTGCATCTGATAATAATCATACAATACCAGTTCGTTCGTTGTTGTCAATTTTTTGAAAAATAATTAAAAATTGTCAAAAAAAGTCAAAACTTCAGCATAAAATGAAAAAAAAAATTGCCTTTTAGAGATTTGATCATAAAGAGTTTAATGTAAAACAAACCAGTCGTTTTTTTATGTCCCTTCCTTCTTTCTTGTCATAAATATTGGAAATGTGAAACAGCCTTTATCGCATTTTTCAAGTTTGTTAGGTGAATTTTAGTTGCCATCTTTTTCAGTGAAGGGATATTTTTCTATGCGCAGCATGAGTGGGCTAAAAATGAATTATATAAAAAAACAGTTTTACGTTTTTACCAATTCTATTTGGAAGTTTTGTAAAACAATCGAGAAAATTTGTCGCTTGACGAAAAAAGGATGAAAGTTTACTCCAATTGGGTAGATGGCTGACTAAAGATAACCACAGGAGACCTTTTTTCTGCTGTTTTGATATCCAGTTCTGTTTGGATGTGTTTTTTCAGCATATTTCGTTTTTTCCTTCCGTGATGAAAAGAGGAGTTTCTTCACATATTCAGAGATTCCAATGCGTTTTTATCACAACTTTCTATAGATTTTTTTGTCGTTAATCACTCTATAGTTTCGTTCTTTGTTTTGGTTTTCTACAGAGAAGATGTGAGAGTCGGGTATCTGAGTTTCAGCTCAAGAAAAACTTCTTTCTTGATGAAGCTCTCTAGGCTAGCTGAACTCATTGGGATGTTCAGGCTCACCACTAGGTCCCAACTCAAGTAGTCAGTTAGTGTTTTCTGCAACTCAAGTCTATTGTGGCTGTATATTGTTCTGATACTACGAACTGAGTAATCGTCGTCTTCAGTCCTTCCGTTCTTAATTCATGCATTTATCACATCATATCATAAGCAATCGACTCACTTGGTGTTTGCAGCAGGGCAAATGTACATTTTCCAGCATGAGGAGCGTCTTCTACATTATTTACAACTGTTTGTTTTTACAATTTACTAAGTTTTGCAAATGTCTTACAAATTAATTCTTTTGCTGGGCGTTTCCTTAAAAGCGTTTCAAAATTACATATAAGATTTGTTCCTTTAAAAAAGATTAGATTACTGCTTGATTGGACTACGAACAAAGGAAATTTTCAAATGAGATCCGGAAGATGTCAGTTTGGAGATGACAGATAAGGGCTAGCCTCAGATGGCTATAAAAGCCTTTTTGCTATTGAGGGGGATTGAAATGAAGCTTCCTTTAGATTAATTGTATGAAGAGGAGTTCTCGCTGGAAGTAGCTGTTTCTCATGTTGGAAAGAATTTTTTTTAAATCCAAGCCGCTTCGTCGATTTCCCTGATGTTGCACAAACTCGCAAAATCTGTCAGAGCACCTCAAAATTTTTCAAAAGATTCCCGGTATTTTTTGTATTTCCTTGCTTTGGAGTTTATCATTTACCGCTCATATTTTAAAATTTACACAAAACCGTGTCCACGAAGTCTCAGAATGCTTTCCAAGAAATAGCTAAATAAAGAAACAAAATAAACAAACAGTTAAATAAGAGTCAATGAAGGCAAGTAAACAAGAATAATACCGACTTGTTATCTCAACTTTCCTATCTCAATAATAATAGACGCCCTTAAAAATTTTTGAATTTTTGGGCAATCCTTGACGGGCATTTTTATTTTTGGTTAAAGTTAAAACCAGTTTGCGAAAACTGGATCGATAAGTAAAGCTTTTATTTGGCAGGGGAATTTGAAACTTAAATTCCCCTTTCGAAACTAGAAATCAATTCCGTTTTTCGTGACATTAAAAAACTTGCTGTTTGACAGTAGAGTTTTCCTTTCTTTGAACGAATCAATAAGGCCCCACTTTCAGCTCAAAGCATGTTCTCAGCTCAAATGTTCAATGAGAACAAAATGGCCAAATTAGTCACATATTAAACCGGTTTTTATCTGTGTTCGGTTCAAAACAATTCGCAAGTGCGTGTTTTTTCGGGATGCCCTCAGGTTTTTCTGCATAATTAGAGGTCAGAGGACTGACAGAAGTAACTTGCTAGCCTCAATGCTTACCCGAAAAAATAGGACAACCTACTTATCCTATGTTTGTCAAGTCCCCTAGACAAACATAGGGCAAAAGATGAAAAAAAAAGTTTGTGATTTTCTAAAAAAAAACTTTACACGTCACTCATATATAAAACATTTCAAGTCGGAAAATTGATTACGAGCTATTTATACTTCAACCAACTGCTCGAATTTGCAAATAGATATTGCTCAATTGATCCTAATGTTTCTTTTTTCTTTCGAATTATTCCCTTTATATCATTTGAATGGGAATAATTTGTGTACTTTGCGCATCAACTGGCTATCGCTTTTATTTTAGCTTAAAATTAATTGGTTTTGACTGTGTCTTTACCCAATAGGCTGTCGAGGTCGAACTGGGAGAGCA